CAAAGGTTTTAGTGCCATGGCAGGCCAAGGTTTGGGTTAGGAGGTGCAGGGTTTGGGGTATTGAGTGAAATCAAGTTTGTCTGCTTCGCTCTCGCCACCCAAGGTGGCGAGCTCGGAATTCGGCGGTGTGGTTGTTTCAGAGCAGTACGAAGTACTGGCCCTACGAAGTCGCACCTGCATCCCAATACCTCGTTGAAACCCTAAACCCTAAACCCTAAACCCTAAACCCTAAACCCTAAACCCTAAACCCTAAACCCTAAACCCTAAACCCTAAACCCTAAACCCTAAACCAACCAACCAACCTAAGAACCCCTAAACCGCCAGATTTTTTTGGGAGTTGCAGATGGCAAGCTTGAAAACTGACAGACCCTGAAGGTCGAGGGTCGCAGCGATTATGGAGGCATGTGTCTTGCTTGGGGGTTTAGAGTTTGGGTTTAGGGTTTAGGGTTTAGGGTTTAGGGTTTAGGGTTTAGGGTTTAGGGTTTAGGGTTTAGGGTTTAGGGTTTAGGGTTTAGGGTTTAGGGTTTAGGGGCATGAGCCGAAGCGGCTCCTAGGGCATGCCGCAGAGCTTCGAAGGCAACAGCCGAAGGGTTGAAGCTTGAGGCAGCCCAATAGGCACATACTGAATATGTATACATATATATATATACATGTAATTATATATATATATATATATTATATGTATATGTATATTAATAGTTATATTCATTTTTATATTTATGTTTATGTTATAGAAAATGTATATGTGCATAAAGATGCATATATGCATACATGTACACGCCCTTTTTATGAATTCATTGTCTCCACATAAACACAACAAATACACACGCATGTGTGTGTATATATATATACATGCAGACACATATACAGCGAGGAGATGGCTAAAACAGTCTGATTTTATGTGCGTTTGGCGACTTGGTGGTTGGATGCTGGTTGCGAGTGCCGGCGTTTCACTCGGAGATCGGATGGTCGGTGCACCAGTGGATTGATCAGTTATCCTCGGGCCACCAACTTCTGTTTCCTTAGGAATTCTGTCCTATTTTCGTTTCTACTCAACCAAAGGAAAATATTCAGCCACATTTGTTCCATCATGGTCCTAACTCCAAGACTTGTATCCGAATTCCTGCCGGGCTGCAGATTGGCTTAGGCCTGCGGCCAAATCAATGAGGTTGATGCTTTTTGTGAGACCTTTGTATTCCTCCCGAGTTCTTCTGATGCTCTTTGTCAGACCTTTGTATTCCTCCGAGTTCTTCTGCTGCTCTTTGTGAGACCTTTGTATTCCTCTGAGTTCTTCTTGCATGCAGCCTTTTTTCTCTTCATCCCTTCCTCGCCCCTTATTTCCTTCAACTTGGTTACGTTTCCATTTTCTTACTTCCTAGTGTCGGGTTAGCATCGATGTTGGTCAAGTACTTTCTAGTGGGCGCAGATGACAGCAAGATGGACAGAGAGAGTGTGCCGACCATCCCAGAGTACAGGGCTTGTCCCTGAACAGCATGAGCACCATCAGCAGCACGAAGCGAAAAACAAACTCAATGAGTTCAGCAAAGATCCATTTCAGCATAGGTACATGCGGCAGCATGAGGGTAGTTCTCTAAATGTGGTTTCCTTTTTGGGAGCCCTTTTTTATGGGTGCCGCCTTAAAGTGGGGTCGGAATAATTACTAATGGTATTCCCTTAGGGTCCCTATATAAATATACTACAATAACACACCCCCCCCCCCCCCAAAAAAAAAAAAAAAAAAAAAATCAAAAAAAATAAAAAAAAATGAATAAATATAATTAAGAAAACCTGTGCTAATTTTTCCGGCCCCTATATTACCAAAAAAGGGCCCGCAATTTAGGAAACTGCCCATGTGTGCGTGCGGGAGATAGCATTGCAAGATAGCATTGCCGACTTAAGGCGATTGAGCAGACCAACTCGTGAGGTGAGTTTAGGGTTTGGGGTTTGGGGTTTGGAGTTTAGAGTTTAGGTTTTAGGGTTTAGGGTTTGATGCGCCGACCTTAGGAATTCCAGAGTCGGATGTGACCTTGCTTTGCGAGCGACCTCGTGTGGTACAGGTGGGTTCTCGCACACCTTCCTTGGCAATGCGTGAATTTGTGCCTAGATACGTTGATTTTGCGGGACGCCAAGGCGCCCTGGGTGTAGGGCTGTGTAGGGTTTAGGGCTTCCAATGTCATGCAAACTGCCTTGGGCGCAAATAAGTCGAAGGGGATGTTGGCAGAAAATCAGGGCTGCCCTAAACCCTGAACCCTAAAACCCTAAACCTAAACCCAAACCCTAAACCCTATCCTGGAGGCACCAGGTAATGCGCAGCACTTCCCACTGCAGCTGCAAATCTTCAGCGCCTCAGTTTGCTAGCGATAAATTCGCCCCAGCACGCTTCTAGAGCCCCTTCGGGCCGCAGGGTTTAGGGTTTAGGGTTTTGGGTTTCGGGTTTAGGGTTTAGGGTTTGGGGTTTGGGGTTAGGGGTTTAGGGGTTTTGTACGGCCTCTCTCTGTATGGAACCGAGCTTACCATGCCCGGCGCCAGCAACACATGTGGCAAAGGCCACACAAGGGGCACCTTCCGGTCTGACTACCCTAGCCCCCTAAAAGGGTTTAGGGTTTAGGGTTTAGGGCAGCGATCAGCGAAGCTCGGTGCCAACACCCCCTCCACCCCTAAGAAACGGGGCCTTGATGATAACCATAAGGGTTGTTTGAGGGGTATTCTTATTGCAGCATCAGTATATAGGGACCATAAGGGAATGCCATTCGTAAGTATTCCGATCCCTGTCGTAATCATGAACCGGTGCCCTGTGCCCTCGGCTGCTGTGTTTCGCCAACAAACCCGCTGTTTTGGTGATTTTAGTGCTAACGTACCAAGACTCCTCGGATTTGTTTTCATTTATTCGTAAAAAAGACTACAGGGAATATTAAACATGTCATACTTCAAAGGGGGTTCTAAGGGGAGTTTAAAAGAAGGGGAGTACAGAGTGCCCTGAAACCGAAGCATCGCAGGACTCGGCTTGCTTTGGAAAGAGGTACCCACAGCGCCATGAAGTGTGGTATGGTTTTGGTACCTAAGTCCATAGTAGGACACAAGAAGTGGACCCTCGAGGTCGTAGAGAGACATTCGAACAAACCTCTCGCAGTTGCAGGGTTGTTTGGCAGCCTACCGCGCAGAGACCGCCTGCAGGCCTGGTCACAGTATTCTTCGCATGGCCGCCACTCTAGGCAGTTGAGGGTACGAGCCGCGCAATTGGAATGCAGCATCGCTGGCAGCGCCACTTGAAACTTCACAGGGAAGGGCCAGGATTGGATATAGTTGGGGCCTGACAATTCGAACATGAGATCCAGTTCTGGCTCAAGCCTTGACCGCATTGGCAACTAGCCCAGTGATCTCATCGCCGCCCATGACGGACCTTTGCCGCCCATGCAGTCCACGCCAGGTTTTCTTATGCGCTGGCGCTTGGTGCTTTGTTCACCTTGATGGGTTGCGATGGGGGCGAAGCGGGCGAAGTCATCACTGGGGCTGTTCGGGTCTCGTGTGCAGATCTGAATGATGACTCTCTCTGTTGCGGGGAGAACGCCAAGCACATGGCATGGGACGAGACTATCAGCACGTGGCTGGGCTGCTGCAAGTGGAATCATGACACCAACGAATGCTCGGCAAATGAAGCTTGTGTGGCCTTCAACGCAGACACCTTCGCAGAGACGTCCACACACAACTACAGCGAAGCCTGTGATTCTCAACGTTGGGTTTGCCAGACTAACACGGCTGAGGACGTTTGCACTGCTGAGTTGCGGGCTGCAAAAGCTGGCAGCACGCGAGGCAAACGATTCTTAAGCTGGAGGTCCTTCCGTGCTGTGCCCCGCGATTTCAAGGTATGGGGAATGTCTAAAAGCTGCTCAGTGCTGTGTGGCTGGAGTGCCTGACACCTACATTTGGAAGTGGAATGACGAATTGCAGTATCATACCATCTGCACCGGCTCCCACACCATGACGACGAACCCCTGCTCGACGGCGCCCATTTGCCCGCAGGAGGTGGCAAAGAAGTGTCAGGATGATCATTACTGGGCCGTCAACGACGGAACGGATCCCGCCTCCTTCTGCCCCTAGGTTTGAGACGTGGAGCCAATGCTTGGCAGATGCCCAGTGCTGCGGTCATACATCAACCCTAAACCTTAAACCCTAAACCCATAAGCTACCAGCAGAGCCTTGACTTTCAATTCACATACAAGGTGGGTGGCCAATGCACTGGCTCCACCACCGTCACGAACCCTTGCAGCCCGGACTTGCGCGTCTGCACAGTCAGTGCAGCAACTCTATCCCCCGGCTCCAATGCCATTACGAACCAATGCACTTGAGCCAGGATTGACATATAATTCCGGGCTGGGAGCCCGAACGGGCGTGCGGAAGGGTCTTGAAGTATTTGTAGGGTTTAGGGTTTAGGGTTTAGGGTTTTACAAGGAACAATAACCATGGAACAATAACCATAGTTCACTTGAAGCCATTGACACTAAGCGCAGTGTTTATCGAATCGCGGCTCGTTGGAGTATAGTCCTTCCTTGATGGGTAATGTCCCTCATGGAATGCAAAACAAAGCTTCCCTGGAGCTTTTTCTTCATTGCGTCAAAATGCTTGGTAATTCTGCATGACTTTCAAAGCTGCCCTGAACCCTAACCCCCAAACCCTTGTCCCTGCCGTGCTATGGCTTGGCGGGTGGCTGAAGACCCTAACATCAGGATGATTCTGAAGCGTCTGCAGCTGCAGGATCTGCAAGCCCTGACGTTGACCATCTGAGGATCTCGCGTTCGGAAAGGAAAAGACAGAGGTGCAAGTGATGTGGGTGAGTATCGGTTGTTCGCCGCAGCCCATGGCACGAAACTTTTCCAAGGATGCGGCAGCTCCTCGGGCCCTTCCCGGGGCCCCGCGGATTTTTTTAACCCCTAAACCCTAAACCCTAAACCCTAAACCCTAAACCCTAAACCCTAAACCCTAAACCCTAAACCATTGCCGTCATGGCCTGGGCAGGACCGGGCGACAGAGATGGCAGAGATTGGGCACGTCCCGGCAGGCCTGCGGGTGAGAAAGGAACAGGTCCTCCCAGTGGAGGAGAAACATAACAGGTGAGTTTTTTAAGGCCAGATTGAGTACCCTAAACCCCTGAACCCTAAACCCTAAACCCTCAACCCTCAACCCTAAACTCTAAACCCACCCCCCCCCCCCCCAACCCAAACTGGCGTCCAGGATGCAACAGGACCGGAGGCATTTGGGCCGGCCCGAAACCTCCCCCCCCCCCCCCCCTTGCTAGCCGTAGTTGGGCACGGTGCTACTGTTTGCTTAAGAACACCGACTTACCCATATAAGGAAGAGTCTTTTAAGTTTTGGGGGTGTTCTTAGGCTCGGTATAGTCGGTGTAGGGCAGTGGCACTGTTCTCTCTCTCTTCTCTCTCTTCTCTTTCTTCTCTCTCACCTCTCTCTCCTCTCTCTCCTCTCTCTCCTCTCGCTCCTCTCTCTCCTCTCTCTCCTCTAGCTCCTCTCTCTCCTCTCGCTCCTCTCTCTCCTCTCTCTCCTCTCTTCTCTCTTTCCTCGTTCTCCTCTCCTCTCTCTCGCCTCTCTCTCTCCTCTGTCTCCTCTCTCTCCTCTCTCGCCTCTCTCGCCTCTCTCGCCGCTCTCTCTCTCTCTCTCCCTCCTCTCTCTCCTCTCTCGCCTCTCTCTCTCTCTCTCTCTCTCTCTCTCTCCTCTCTCTCCTCTCCTGTACTTGGTCTTTGGGTTTGTGCCTGAGGGGAGGGGGAAACTGGAATATAGTAAGAGGGGTGGCCTTTCGCAACATTTCACGAAGCAGAAACGTGCATTGTTCCCTGTAGTGCGTCTCTCTGAGTCAGCTAGGCGGCTGGCAAAAAAAAAATCCGTCAACCCTGAACCCTGAAGCCCAAGCAGCCCTGCCTTCTTTGCGGCTTTTGGGGGGGTTTGTGACGGGGGTGGTCTGGGAGCTGGGGGGAGATTTCCAGGCTGCCCCCGCGGACGACGACGACCCGAGGAGGCCAGAGCTCCCAAACAGGCTAGGCTGCAGGGTTTTGGGCTAAATTAGGGTTTTAGGGACTTTAGGGCTTAGGGCTTAATTATTGTTTAGGGACTTTAGGGTTTAGGGAATGAAGGGCAGATGAGGGATCAGACAGTCGCCACATGGCTTGCAGACCCTACATTCCCTACATCTTGCATCCCACGTATCGAAGCAAAGGGCTCCCAGAAATTGCTCCCAAGCTCGAAACCCCCAACCTTCCACCTCTGAGCAAGTCGAACCCTAAGGCTCCAAAATAGCCCAAAGTAGGCATTATCTATCGACTTTCGACCCCAATGTAGGTATTATTTGTATGCTTAGGGGTTTAGGGTTTAGGGTTTAGGGTTTAGGGTTTAGGGTTTAGGGAGGTCTAGGGGAAGATCAGGACTGCAAAATGCTGGCTTTGCCGTGGCAGCCTTTGTTGCGCGATGCGGGCGGGCGCCGGGAGGTCGATCCGCCGTGACTGCAACATTCGGGGTATATCTGCTATGTGCTTAAGACCCCCCCCCCCTCCCCCAAAAAAAGAAATGCATAAGAATAATCCCTAGAGTCCCCTTGTAAGGCAGAATGTTTTGAAGTTTTTGGGGGTTCTTGGGCAAATAGTAGATAGTTGCTGTGGTTGGGGACTGGAGGTATACAGTAGGTCTCAGGTGCTGGGCTGTGTGTGTGTGTGTGTGTTCTGATGTATGACTTGGTGCCCCAGTGGTACCCTTTTCCCTTTTTTGGTTCAAGGTTCCCTTAGTAGAAGTCACCAACCCAAAAAAGGGGTGCCCTTATTGTGATATGGTTGCTGGGCTAGCAAGATGCACAGCGTCATCGTAGTGTTGCTGGACCTTTGTAGCCTGAGCTCGGGCAGGACTGGGATGACTGGGTCCGTTTCACTTCGCCTTTAGCCGGTCCTGGAAGACTTGGAACACATACATATATATATATATATAGAGATATACCTGAAGAGAGAGGGAGCGGGAAAGAGTGACAGACAGAGAGCCAGACAGCAGACAGACAAGACAGCTAGATAGATTGTATATATATATATGTATATATATATTTATTTATTTATTTATTTCTTTATTTATGTGTGTATATGTATATATGTGAATACATATATATGATATGATGTGATCTGATTTGATGTGGGTTCTAGATGTGAAGGTCTGAGCGGCAGCCTTCAGCGCTGCCGCAGGCAACGGGAGGAGGTCGAGAAGGACGAGGAAGTGGTGCAGGCACCGACCCCGAACCCCAAAATTCAGGGTTTAGGGTTTAGGGTTAATTCAGGGTTTAGGGTTTAGGGTTTGGGGTTGAGGGTTTTGGGTTTAGGGTTAACTCTTTTGCAGTGTGGTTGCGAGGCTGCTAGGCAGGTGGCACCAAGATTCCTTTGGGTCTTGTACTTCGGGTTCAGTGTTTTGGGTTTAGGGAGAAGAGAGAGTGCGGACGAGTCCTGTTTCCCAGCCCTGCGCCCTGCGTCGTAGAAGTTGAGGTGCCATGCATCTTCTATGGCCTGAAGCGGGATGACGTGGGTATCGAACGAGTGTCAGTCGTGGAGGCACCAAAAATCCTGCATGCCTGTACAGAGCAGCCTCAGACCCAAGAAAGATGTACAACTGCAGGCTTGTGGAAGGTTCCGAGAAGAGTTTGTTGGCATTTCTCTCTGGGTAAGCAGGGCTTGTGTTGCAGTTGTGGGTGTGGGTGCTTCCCTGAGCCAGTCTTGTGTCTATTGGTTGATGCACGTTGGGAGTCTGCTGAGAAAGCTGCCTTGGAAGCCCAGAATTGCATGTCTCAAAGGGCGATGTGGCGAATCGACGGATTTAGGACCAGGTTGACAGTCGATGATCATTGGTCCATCAGCCTGTTGTTGCCTCGTTCCTATACTGAGAGTCGAAGCCCACGCATGTTTCTGGCTTCTGCAGCAGGTGTCAAACGGTGAGAAGCTCCGGCTGATGTTCATCGATCGGGGCGTTAGCCTGAGCCCATTTTGCACAAAAGTCTCACATCATCCCCACAGGTTATACCTAAACCCTAAACCCTAAACCCTAAACCCTACACCCTAAACCCTAAACTCTAAACCCTAAAGCGCTGGCCGTGTGCATATCAGGCCTTCAAAGTGACAGGAATGGCACGGTTGATTCGAGAGTTCCCCGAGTCCGAGGAAGCCCAGTGACTGGTGAGCTTCCGGCCCTCGCCGACGAGGTCTTTGCGAATTGCCAGCGCGGACCCCGAGAAAGGTTTGAGGATTGCGGTCCACAGGCGCGGGTTTCCGAAATTTGGGGGGGGGGGGGGGGGGGTACCTTAATGTGGTCCTTATTACAAGGGAATCCTAGTATTTGGGGGCTTACAATTATATCGGGCCCCTTACTTTGGGAAAGCCCCGTAGGGACGGATGGGTTTTTTTTGTTTGATCCCTAAACCCTAAACCCTAAACCCTAAACCCTAAACCCTAAACCCTAAACCCTAAACCCTAAACCCTAAACCCTAAACCCACATCCTCAGCAGAACCGGAGGAAGCTAAACTTCCGGAGTCTGCCCCCGGTATTTCGCAAAAAGCTACGTGCTTGGCTCCGCCTGACAATGGGGGTTTAGGGTTTAGTGTTTAGGGTTTAGGGTTTAGGGTGTCCACACGCTCGGAGTTGCTTCGGTCAGGAAGATGCGTGGGGGCACGTCTTTCTGCGTAGTGTGTACGACGCAGGTCATGCTGTGTGAACCCTCCGGAGTCCTGATACCCTAAACCCTAAACCCTAAACCCTAAACCCTAAACCCTAAACCTCTGATTATATGCCAACTACATGACAGGTGTTCCCTCTTGCGCTCTTGGGGGGTTTCCTTTAAGGTTTGCTTTGTTGGGGCTGTTCCTCTCGCAGATTCGAGGGTCGACGTGGAAAAGCCCCACATCCCTACTCCCAAACCCCAAACCCCAAACCCCGAACCCCGAACCCCGAACCCCAAACCCCAAACCCTAAACCCTAAACCCTAAACCCATGCATGAGATGCCCGTAGGCCGGCCTTCCGAAGACTTGGGGGTGCGAGTCGACGCCTTAGGTCCTTTAGGGTTTAGGGTTTAGGGTTTGGGGTTTAGGGTTTAGGGTTTAGGGTTTGGGTTTAGGGTTTAGGGTTTAGGGATTAGGGCGCCAAAGCCGTGCTTTGGTCAGGTCCTATGCCTTCACATGGAGCACCTCCTCTGACGGTCAGAAATGCGCAGTCCTTAACTCTCCTCAGCAGCACGGCCCAATATGCGCTAGTTTTCATCAAGTACTGTTTCAATAAATAGATGTCTAAATGTATGTCTGTATGTACAGTTGTACAAGTACATAATTCGGTCATATGAATTAGAGCATGCTGAATTCTTCTACGTTGTACTACAGAATATGCGAAAGTACACTGCGTCGTCGACCCACAGCCTCGGCCGGCACAAAACTCGACCGCCCATCCAAGAATCTGCCTACAGGGGGCTCGAAAAGCGAAACTTGGATGGGGAGTCGACAGTTGATAGGGTTTAGGGTTTAGGGTTTAGGGTTTAGGGTTTAGGGTTTAGGGTTTAGGGTTTAGGGTTTAGGGTTTAGGGTTTAGGGTTTAGGGTTTAGGGCAAAAATGGGGAAGGTCACTGGACCGTCCTTGTGCTTGACAGTCTCCACAAGCTCTGGTCCGCCGTGCAAGAGATCTCAACAAACCGCCCAGATCCTCAAATTCCTGGACCATCCCCCCAGAAGACTCGCAACTGCAGGCGTGAGAAGGTCGGTGGTTGAGCTGGGCTCTGGCCAGATCACCTACGAAGACCCAGGTCGTTTAGGGTTTAAGGCAAGAAAAGGTTTAGAGTTTAGGGTTGAGGGTCCCTGCGGCAAAAAGCGTTCAGGGTTCCAATGTGCTCTGAAGTCTCGGCGCAACGCAGGGTGATTTTTTGGCGCCTCTGTTGCAGCATCGTCAGCTCTAATGCACTCACTTCCGGAAAAAGCCCATGTCCTTAAGCCTAGCCTGCAGTCTTTCCAGGCGTCTTTGCCTCTTAGCTGCAAGAAGTGTGGGGTTCTCAGTGCGCTCTCTTGCATTTGGGTTGACGTAGACTCTTCGCTCGGATGTTTCTGCAATGCTATGTGAGTGTTGCTTGCTACGATATGGGGTTGTAAAAGAACCCCTCGCAGTCGATTTGTGAAAGGAATTGCCCGAAGCGTTTGGGGCATTGCTTCTGACTCGTAAACGATAATTAAGACAATAAAACGATAACTTTGTAGTATCGGGCCAGGCAGGCGATATTCCAGTACTAAGCTTGTACTACAAATACATGAAAACACGAAAACCCAGCTGGGTCACGGGAACGTCGGTTCCAGTACTAAGCTTGTACTACAAATCAACGAAAACCCAGCCGGCTCACGGGAACGTCGGTTCCAGTACTAAGCTTGTACTACAAATCAAAGAACCCAGCCGGCTCACGGGAATGTCGGTTCCAGTACTAAGCTTGGACTACAAATCAACGAAACCCAGCCGGCTCACGTGTACTACAAATCAACGAAAACCCAGCCCGCTCACGGGAATGTCGGTTCCAAGTTGTTGGTATAGTAGTGGTCGGCGTACACTGTGTGTGTGTTTGAGATTCTTTGGTATAGTATGAGTGATAGTGAAGGTGATGATGGTGCTACATATTCAAACATATTCAAACGCAGGCGAGGAATATGCAGGTTGCGGTAGCATAGAATCCACACCCAGGCGCAGTCGATCTTCACGCCGGAGTCCTCCGCGCTTTTTCTGGATGACTATGTGGACATCTTTTCCGCACGGCCCCCTAGCAGTGAACCGGGTGCGGATTTAGGGTTTAGGGTTTAGGGTTTAGGGTTTAGGGTTTCTGGGTCTGGGCTTGGTGTTGGATAAAATGCAAGAAGCCTTTTAAGTGAATGACGCATGAGACTCGCTGGGCAGGTGGCGAAAATTATCGGCATATGCGGTACTCGTAACTGCAGCTATCTATCGCATCCCTCCTTGAATCGTGCCGACGGTCTCCCTAGACACACCATGGCACTCATAAGGGGATTCCCGAGCTTTCAACCGGTCAAGTTATGTCCCCCCTGTTCCTAAAAATCGTCCCGGACATGGCTGCTGCAGAACCTCAGACATCAGAGCTGCAGGTTGAACCTGTGGACATAAAAAAATTTTCTATACAGGTACTGAGGGAGCCCGTGCTCCCCTATAACCTGTCGCCACCGACTCTTGGGAAGGTGAACCGAACCAGCTTGGGCTTGTGCACTTTCAGGCCCATGAGAATACTAAATCCTCTGGGCTTCTTGGGGTTGCTCACAGTATGCCATGTGGGTTTCGGGTTTAGGGTTTAGGGTTTTGGGGAGCTCCGTACATCATCACAAAAGGCTTTAAATCGACTCTAAGGTCCTGGCCCTCCTTGGTGACCGAGAGGCTGCACACCCCGGCCTCCGCGGGATCCCCGAGATGATTTGGGGATTGAGGTTGTGGGACAGGGTTCCGAGTTTAAGGCGTAGGGTTTAGGGTTTAGGGTTTAGGGTTCAGGGTTTAGGGTTTAGGGTTTAGGGTTTAGGGGCTCTAGTTTGTGGAGGCTGAAGCAACACGGCATGATTCCTTGAAGGCTGTGCAAGACAGGATCTAGGTCGCAAGGGAACGGGACCACCCACAGATTTTCAATATCCCGATTCCACCTACAGCCGTACGACCCTAAACCCTAAACCCTAAACCTTAAACCCCTAAACCCCTAAACCCTAAACCCTAAATCATCGCAGCTTGAACCTCGCGTCGAAAGCCTACAACTGTATTGACCGCCACCTCCATGCAGGTGCGCTTGCACGCCATTTGTCAACTGCTTTTGGGCCTAATACTCGCACGTCTAGTCGAAGGACAAAGACCTTGACAGCAAGAAACGGCCCTGGCTAAGCATCTTGTTCCTTTTGCGGCCAACACATGTACGACGTGGCAGCCGTTTTGGCTTGTGGTGAGGCTGCGCAACTGTTTTGTGTTCAGGCCTACAAGTGGTCCTCTTGGCGCAGGCCCCAACTTTACACGATTTATGCTGGAAACCTCTATGTGCTAATTATGGCTGCTAATTACCCCATGGAGATACTTCCCCTGACTCATCCATATGCAGGATTACATGGTTGCTTACCAATAATCCTGGTAGGCAAAGCTTGCGCACAGTATTCGAACACTTTGATTGGCCCAGCCGGCTGGGTTTCGGCAAGCGCCGCCCATCTATCTCAAAGCTATTCAGGTGATTCAACATCAGCAGTCTGACGTTTACTTGCTGTGAGCTTCCATGAAAGCCAGGCGGCTGAGCATTTCGCTTCCGTCGTAAAAGGCAGTCGCGAAGAAGCGATTGCCACGCCTGGGGTGCAGTAAACTTCGAGCAGTTGTTGAAGCAGATCCAACCCGCCAGCTTTCAGGCACGTTAAAGGCGGTTCTACGACATGAGGCCCACTAACCTAAACACTGAACTTTAGACCCTCTAAACCCTAGGCACCCCCAAAGCCTCAAAACCCTGCAAGCAGCCCAGGCGTTTTTGTGTGGGCAGGTTAAACCTGCCGCCACCGAAGCGGTGTTGTTGTGTCCAGTGTGAAGAATCGCAGAGAAACAAACAAGGAGAATGCAAAGCAGCAAACCAATAGGTGCTACTACTTAAGGAAGGCGTTGCAGTTCGACGTGTGGACACATGAGCAAGGAAAAGTGCATGCGCACCCCCCCCCCCCCTGTATAAACACCTAAGCTTTGGTACTAAATCCAACTAAAGGCAGCCTTGCGCCCCTGATCCAAGGTGATGTGTAGTGGATTCTTGGGTCTGTTGAGTGCGTAACGCGTGCACGAAGATTTCAAGTGATCACAGGGACATCGCACATAAGCCAGTGATTTAGCATTATTATGGTGAACAGCCAAGGAAGAAACAGGCTCCTAACAATATCACGCGGACACTTAGGCCTTTAATCTTTGCCGCTCTTCCTGTCTCGTTCCATCGCTCTCGCTTTTGGACATCCGGTCTGAGCCAGATGCAGTTTAGGGTTTAGGGTTTAGGGTGTAGGGTGTAGGGTCTAGGGTAGGCGAAGATTTGCTTTTAGCTAGCCGCATCCAGTCGCACGTATCTTCACACGGACGAGCATCTGGAAATCTGCGCTGAAGGTCCTTCGGTGCCCTTGGAAGTTGGATGGGTGTAAGCACTGTACCTCCAACACAGATAGGTGATTGTGTGTGCATATATACATATATATATAACATGTATATATGTATATATGTTACACATGCGTGTGTATATCTTTCATGTTTGCAGCACCTGAAAGGGGATATGTACAGGATAATCCTTACAAGCACACCTATCCTGTCGCGGCTTGGTTTCAGGGGCGCCGTTAGCGTGATCGCAGGTCAGCAGTGTTTAACCGTCTCGGGAGCAGCAAAACGGCTGCCCCCGAAGCACCGGAAGTCCCTTGTTGCTGGAGCGGCCTAAGGGTAGGGTTTAGGGTTTAGGGTTTAGGGTTTAGGGTTTGGGTTTAGGGTTTAGGGTTTAGGGTTTAGGGTTTAGGGTTTAGGGTTTAGGGTTTAGGGTTTAGGGTTTAGGGTTTAGGGATTAGGGTTTAGGGTTTAGGGTTTAGGGTTTAGGGTTTAGGGAGACCTCGTATAGGGTTTAGGGTTTAGGAGGCAGACTCAGACGAAGTCTTTTCCTCAACAACATCTCAGGCCTCTAAGCTATCAGGGACTTGGGTTCAAAAGGCTTCTCACCGCATTGGGCGTCTCCGCTGCGCCTTCGGCTACGGCAGCGGCGGCTGGCGAGGCGGAAGCCCCATACTTCCCCTTATAAGGGACCTTAGGGGTTATTTCGGGGCGACTTAGGTATATAGGGACTATAAAAGGGCATATATAGGAGTTATATCGGGGAATGAGATGAAGGGTCCCTTCTAGGGGTCCCTCCTTATACACGTTATGGCTGCGATGCGCAAGCTTCGGATCCATAGGGTTTAGGGTTTAGGGTTTCGGGTTTCGGGTAGGGCTCATGGATACTCCAACCTGTGCCTCTGCCGCCCACATGCAACCACGTCGATCTGGGGGTCAAGATCAGTGGCCTCGGGGGCTTCGCATCTTCCGCACTTGTTACTGCTAAGGGCTTTGGAATGCTTTGGGGGCTTACAGGGTTTCGGGCAAATTGAGAGTCCGAAAACAGGATTTTGTCGTGTTAAGTGCAACAGAGACGGTGTTGAACAAGCAGAAGGCTCCAGGGAAAGCAGCTCTCAAGATCCTCCCTCCCTCTCTCTCTCTCTCTCTCTCTCTCTCTCTCTCTCTCTCTCTCTCTCTCTCTCTAAGCTGAGCAGAGACCGGATTCCTCGGCCCCAAGCTGCGTTGTTTTTTTTCCGAAGATAGGGTTCCCTTCTTGGGGGGGTTCTATAATGAGGATTGTTGTCTTTTTTTTGGGGGGTATATGATTACGGGACCCGAAACCCTAAACCCGATTGGGGGAAAGGCCGATTTCCGCCCCTAAACCCTGGACCCTAAACCCCGAGATACCCATTTCCGGAAGGCGATGATTCAGCTGTTGTCTCTGGCCACAGCGAACTCGTCCGACTCCAGGTGGCCGAGGGTTTAGGGTTTAGGGTTTAGGGTTTAGGGTTTAGGGTTTAGGGTTTAGGGTCTAGGGTTTAGGGTTTAGGGTTTAGGGTAGGGAGCATGTCCTTGTGCAGGCTCGGGGTGGTTGAGGCGCAAGGACACAGAAGACGAAAGCCTGGGGGTGGTAACTTCACTATAGTGCTCCGTCGAGCCTTCTACACTTAAATCCTACGCCCTAAACACTAAACCCTGAACCTAAACCTTCACGCCAGGAGCCCCATATGACAGCTGAGAGCCCTGCAGCTCTGAGGGTAGTTTCATGGGCCCTTAATTTGTGGGGTAATAAGGGGCCCTAAACCCTAAACCCTAAACCCTAAACCCTAAACCCTAAACCCTAAACCCTAAACCCTAAACCCTTTTAAGGGCTTGGGACGAACAAGAACGGCGCCAAGCTGCCCAAGGCGCAGGCGTCCCTCAGCCAGTGCGGCACTGCGCAGCCTCTCCAAGAGCTTCACCCGCCACTCTTTTCGGGCGACTCGGTGTTCTTTGGTTTTAGGGTTTAGGGTTTAGGGTTTGGGGTTTGGGGTTTGGAGTTTGGGGTTTGGGGTCGCTTCGGCTCCGGCTGATCGGCTTGTTTGGGGGCTAATCAAGGCTTGAGGTTCAAGAGCTGGCCATCTTATGGGGTTTTAGGGCGACCGTGCCGCAACCCCAAACCCTACGAAAATGAACTCCGGCTGTTGGTTGCAGAGTGCTCGACTCATTCGACCTTTGGTGAGTTTGGTGTCTCAAGGGACCTCGACGAAGCCTCATCAAGTTTCAAACCCTAAGCCCTAAACCCTAAACCCTAAACCCCAAACCCTAAACCCTAAACCCTAAACCCTTTGGTCTAAAACCAATGGGCTTGGGGCTAAGTGGGGCTCTTGGGAGCTGGTTTAGGGTTAGGTTAGGGTTTCGGGTTTAGAGCTTCAAAGTAGGGTAAGAAGTACCCTAAACCCTAAACCCTAAACCCTAAACCCTAAACCCTAAACCCTAAACCCTAAACCCTAAACCCTAAACCCTAAACCCTAAACCCTAAACCCTAAACCCTAAACCCTAAACCCTAAACCCTAAACCCTAAACCCTAAACCCTAAACCCTAAACCCTAAACCCTAAAAACCCTAAACCCCAACCCTAGGGTCAGCTCGATGCTAGATCCCAGCCGAGGAGAACATGCAGGGCTCCAACAACAACAACATGGCAGCTCGGAGCCCAGAAGCCGCAGCCGCCGCAACCTGCACCCTGAAAGGTGGGATTAGGGTTTAGGGTTTAGGGTTTTGGGTCTAGGGTTTAGGGTTTAGGGTTTAGGGTTTGGGGCTTTGTGGTTTTGGGGTTTTGGGGTTTTGGGGTTTTGGGCGTTGGGGGGGGTGGGGGGGGGGGGGGGTTCTGGGTTTTGCGGTTAATGCCTCCTCAAACACGAGTCTTGACGAGAAATATTCATCTCTTTAGTGCCAGTCCAGTCCTCAAGAACGGGGGGGAAGCTTACGCCAAGATTTTGCATTGGTAGCTACGCCGGTGCCTTGCTGCTGCAGCGAGTGTGAGTTTGGGATCCGCTGTGTCTGCCGGGGCAAAGCACTGAGGTCTCTGCAAGCTTTGATCAGCTGGACTGACCATGTGACAATGAGAAGTGTTCAGAAGGTCAAGTGAGTCAGCGCGTGCTGGGCCATTGATACGTGCAAGCTGTTGACCGAACAACCTTGCCTGTCGCTCCTACGGTAGTAGGCTTCAGGCCCCGAACAGGTACACACACCCGCCAGCCCGTAGTCAATGAAGGTCTTGCCATGTGCTTGACTCCCTGCCAGGACAGGCCACAGCATCTGGCGTGCAACCTGGCCCAATGTAACCCTAAACCCTAAACCCTAAAAGCCCTAAACCCTGTAGACCCTAAACCCTAAACGTTAATGTAGGGGTGCGGGGTCTCAGGATCTCCCGGCTGATGCGGCATCGAAGTAGGGGAGGAAGAAAAGTGGAGTGCCCCGGGTCACCTCCTTCTTTGCATTCACCCTAAACCCTAAACCCTAAACCCTGAAACACCCCAAGACCAGCAACAGCTGGATTGTTAGTCGTTTTCCTGTTGGTTGTGGGGGCCTGGGTTGAACATGATGGTTTCTTCAAGTACCACCTCATGGAGCATGTCCGAGTTGATGGATGAGGCTTGCGAGTGATTGCGACCGCGCGACAGTACTACCAGGATCGGGGACACTGAGTCAGTAGATGGATGCAGATCTGCGGCAGCAACAGGCAGCAGCAAAAGGCCCTGGACCCTAAATCGCTGTAGCAGCATGATGGGCAACGTCTTTTGTTCGGGTTCGGGGCTTTCTCGAGCTGCCGAGACCATCTGCCATACATCCCCCCAACCCATCCCCCCCCTCCCATGATCCACACCTGTGTTTTTGCAAGCTTTTTCTTTTTCTGAATATATGTTGTTTCCTCAGTGAAATGCAGTGAAAACTGTCCTCTGTAAAGGGCTGTGTTGTTAAGGCCACTTCGAAACTAGCAGTGTTTTGTTTAATCTCATTTTTTGAATCGTTTCCGAAGAGTATGTCATGCAAAACATATCAGCAAACCCTGCAGAGTCCGCTAGGCGGGAGGCAACAAAAAAACCTGAACCTTGGCCGATTGTTTGAACCAGTATTGGTGTTCAGACCTTCTGAAGACCCCGCGGTGTTCGCGTGCATGCTGTAAACCGAGGGTTCCTGAGCTCAGGTCTTCCGAAACTCTAAGCCCCGCAAAGAGCCGGAGGGTTTAAAGGGCTTAAGTTTTAGGGTTCAAAGAGCTTAGGGCATGTAACCCTAAACCCTAAACCCTAAACCCTAAACCCTAAACCCTAAACCCTAAACCCTAAACCCTAAACTTATGGTGTTTCGTCCAGGAGGCGCCGATCATCTTCACGAAGCTGAGCTCTTCAAGCTCCTTAGGCACCATGCAGAGTGGAGAGCCCCTCGTCTCGCAGATTCCCTTTAGGGTTTAGGGTTTAGGGTTTAGGGTTTAGGGTTTAGGGTTTAGGGTTTGGCAAAATCATGGTCCCTTTTTGGATCCCTAGCATAATACGGCACCTAATAACGGCACCTAATATTTAGGCTACCCCAAACAAGGGATCATAACTTGACAGCGCACTCTATGTGGGGTTTGGGGTTTAGGTCAAACCCTTCGAGGTTCGGGGCTTCGGGAACCTTGCCGGATCTCGACCATGCAAGCTTCTGACACCAAACCTCCGGCAAAAAAGAATACAATCGGTTTAGGGAGGGAGCCTCGCGCCCAGGGCCACGGACCCTCCACTGGTGCTGCCCGAGTCTTGCACGTTCATGCGCAGTGCAAGTTTTTGGTACAGGGTTTGGGCTGCCACCCCAATTCACGCTACTATTCACTCCAGCCCCTCTGTACAAGAATCCGGAAATCGGGAAGAATTTCTGATGTTAGGGGATTTTCCGGTTGGGATGTCAGGTAAGCCCCCGGAATCCTAAACCCGGATTCTAGACCCGAATTCAGCGCTACAGCATCTGCAAAAAGATCAGGGCTTAGGCTTGCTGGCATAGGGTTTGCGGCTTGGGAGTCCTAAACCCTACACCCCAAACGGTTGCGGGCATAGGGTTGGTTCATAACAGGGGGCAGGAACTGAAGGTTGAGAAGTTCGATTCGACATCTTCCTAGGGACTACAGGAGGGACCCTTAGAAGGGACTGTAGGGGTCCTTTGGGGGGGTCATCTAGGGGCTACTTACTTTTGTCGGGCCTCGATAAGGTATAGACAGGGGTTGTATTGGTCTAAGGGAAGCCTACTCTTTGGGGTTAAGCCCTAAGCCCCACCCGATTGACCTTCTTGGGGAATCCTACTATTTGGGGTCTATCCCTAAACCCTATAAACCCTAGACCCTAAACCCTAAACCCTAAACCCTAAACCCTAAACCCTAAACCCTAAACCCTAAACCCTAAAACCCTAAAACCCTAAACCGAAACTACCCTTAGAATGAAGGTTGAGAAGTTCAACCCAGGAGGATCTCCGGGAGCAGCTGGAGGAGGAGTGCCACAGCAAGAGTAACAAGCAGGCTGTTAAGGGGTATAAGGACCCCTAGAAGGGGTTTAGGGTTTAGGGTTTAGGGTTTAGGGTTCCCTATATACCCAAGTATCCCCTAGATTTCCCCTCAAGCCCTGAGGTCCTTTGCAAGGGTCCCTCCTTCGGTCCCTTGAGAATTACGTGGGGGCTCAGGGCTCGCATCGGGTGTTTAGGGTTTAGGGTTTAGGGTTTAGGGTTACATGGCCTGAGAAGAGATTTCGGTTTCCCATGTGCGCAGAAAACGAAACTCTGGCATATCCCCGAAGAGCTCGTGCCGTCCAGCGTAGATGCTAGACGAGAGTTTTTCTTTTGGCTGCGCTGATGTGATCAAGGTATGACGACCTCGTCCCGTACAAGGGCAGATACCTGAAAGCCAGGTCGCCTGCCATGGAAAGACATTCAGGGATTGATTTTCCACGGGCTTGTGCAGCTCTGTGCCACTTTGGTTCTGCGATGCCGTTGCGACATGAACCACGTAGACGCCAAGCAGGGGCCTGAAAGAAGAGTGAACATGTGAGAAGGTGTGGGGTGGCACTTTGTCTGCAAAAATTGGACAACTAATCACCGCCAGACTGCTGGGTGAGTATGTATACTCTCACGCAGCTTTTGCAACGTTTGCATGCCCTGCTGCTGTCCTCAAGGGAGCTAGAATACATGTCGAAGGTCTTTTGACGGCCGGGCACGAAGCTGCTCGGCCAAAGTCGCCATGCCGAAATATGTGGCCTTGCTCACATTCTTCGTGGAACTGGCTACCTCCAGCCTACCACCAGAGGAGGCTTTTCATCTCCTCGGTTGCGCGGACGATGGGCCCAACAACTTGCACTTGCTTCAAGTCAAGGGCCGCATGGTCTCCCATGAACTAGAGCTGCCACACAAGCCCATCATGAAGGGCGTCAGTTATGGCCCCTCTCCTTTCACATCCCCTCACCGGAATAGGCACCAGGACTACTTCTGTGACGCTGCTCAGCCAATGTGGGGGGACGAAGGCAGGGGAGACTTGCGCGTGATCCGGAGTATCTTTGTCATAGTTGGGTAACATTTTACATGTTTAAGGGTACTTAAGCCCTAAACCCTAAACCCTACTATCCCAACCATGAATCAGGCATTGGGGCCAACACCGTCCGCCTCTATGGCAACGACCCCGACCAGCCCCATGCCAGGTTTCTCGCTCCTTGGTGGCCCCCAGTGGTATTCTAGGCTTCCTCATGAAGTAACCAACCCGAAAAGAAGGGTTTAGGGTTTAGGGTTTAGGGTTTAGGGTTTAGGGTTTAGGGTTTAGGGCCATATGGTGAACTGCTGCTAAGGATCACGCACGAAGTCTAGGGCTCGAGATCATCCCTGGCATGGGCGACAAAGCCTTTGAAACCGGCCAGTGCAAGGGCGGGAACTACTCATGCTCCGAGGGCACCCAGTTTGCCTTCAAGAAGAACCTGGAGAACGGCTTCCTCCTTGCCAACAGATGCTTGACCGGGGGACTCATACTAAGAAGCTCAGGTGGCCAGCAGCTAGGGGCTTTCAAGTCCTACTGACGTCCTAGGGCGTGAAACCATGCAGGGCGAACTTCAAACCATTAGAAAGTTCAAAGATGCATAGATAGATACGTATGTATATAGCTACATAAGTCCGGACTGGCCCTGATTTCCGATGCTTGTTTCGCATCCTGCAGTCCCCCACTGATTGAAATCCTGCCAGGAACCTACCACCCAGCAATCAAGTATTTCATCGTCGTGAATGAGACTTGGTAGCCCCGGTGGTACCCTTTTCCCTTTTTTTTGGGGGTTCAAGGCTCCCTTATAAAATAACCAACCCCAAAAAAGGGTGCCCTTATAAGATATGGTTCCTGGGCTACGCAGGAGCCAGAGCTCAAGCTACCAAGCCTCAAAGAGCCGCGACAGTTTGCCAAAGCCATCGCGACCGCCATCGACGCTCTACTCAGACTTGTCTTCCGGGGGTTGTGAGGGTAGGGGCGGTTTAGGGTGTATAGTTCATATTTGCCTTAAACCCTAAACCCTAAACCGGCTTAGTAATGGAGCGTCATGGGGTGGCTCCTGCCTGGCGGAGCAGCTGGGTTGGCATTTAGACTTCGGGGTATAGGGTCTAGGGTTCAGGGTTTAGGGGGGAAACCCCAGAATGACAGAAGTAGATGTCTAGCGACCGAGGTCCATGGAGAGGTTTGCAGTAAATGGCGGCCCTCCTACTCAAAGCCTACTCAAAGCCCCACCAGTCACCAGTCCAGCCCGTTGGGGTTTAGGGATTAGGGTTTTAGGGGTTTAGGGCTTTAGGGTTTTAGGGTTTCGGGTTTAGGGTTTGGGGCTTAGGGGTTTAGGGCTTAGGGTTTTAGGGTTTAGGGTTTGGGGTTTAGGGGCCGGCTTAAACCCAAAAACTGCAACCCAGGACGGCGTCTTGGCCGCCGAGGAGGAAGCCGGAGTGGTTGGCCCAAAGCCCAACCTGACAGCCCCTTCGCCGAATTTCCCTTCGGGGATTTGGGGTTTAGGGTTTGGGGTTTGGGATTCGGGGCTTATGGTTTAGGGTTTGGGGTTTGGGGTTGATTGGGGAGTCTTCAGGGGATTTGGGAAGTTTGCCCGAGTCAGCGTCCTCAACTCTCGAGTAAACTTAGGAGTTTTATCGGGTTCATTGAAAATGTTCAGGGCTCAGGTTCGGGGAGTTTCGAGGAAAGTTTCGCTTTCGACTTGGACTTCAAGATACAGGGCTTGAGGTTTAGGGGGTTTTGGGTTTAGGGGCCACAAAGCCTCTTAGCGTTCATTGTTTGGGATCAAAGGGGCTTCTGGGATCAAGGCTGGTAGCTTGCTAGGGCCTCATGGTCTATGTTTGACCTTGTTGCACCTTCTTCTCTCACTCCCGTCTGGGAATAACAACCATCATCTTCATGGAGAACGAAGTGGGCGCGAACGGTACATGCTCCCCAGTACAGGATGACCCTAAGGTGTGTTTTTGTTTGCTATGTCTAACGGCTTTTAAGATAGGAATGCTTGAAGCACGAACGAATGCTCTTTCATGTTTTGCTCTGTGCCATTTTAGTATATGTGGTGGGTCATGTTGGGCAGGTATGCAGTACATTTTCCTTGCTTTCCGCATGAGCCCAAACCCTAAACCCGGAAAAGCCAGTCTGGTTGCGAGGCTGCTAGGCAGGTGGCCCAACTAAAGCCTAAACCCGAAGCCCTAAGCCCTCAACCCTAAACCCCAAACCCTAAGCCATGGAAAAAAAGGAAAGCCGAGGTGACTTTCTCCTTTGCCTCATGCAAGCGCTGCGCCAAATTCGGCGATCGACCGGGGCTGGGCCAAATCTGGACCCTCCAACACGCGCTTCTGAATCCGGAGTCGTACCATGGACCCCCGAAAAGGGTTTAGGGTTTAGGGTTTAGGGTTTAGGGCTAGGATATGGGGTTTACGATATTAGGCGGGGGGGGGGGGGGGGGGTACCTTATTGGGGTCCTGATTATGAGGGAATCCTACTATTTAGGGGGTCCTTCTTGGGGGTCCCTATTTTCGTAAACCCTACATAAAGTATCGGTATTTCCTATATGTAGGGTGCCTCTCTTTGCGCTCGGGATTTCGCTGTTATCCCTCCTCCAGATTGGAACCCAACATCGAGACAACCTAGATGTTACCTGATTTGTCTTTATTTTGCTTGGTGCATCTGTGGAGCATCCGAGACAGTTCTGAGTAGATACAAGCTTTACTACAACTTTATCACTTTATAAGTTTAGGGTTCCTCTAACTTCATATTCAGGGAACTCAGAAGTCGAGCTTCTATTGGGGGGGGGGGAGGGGTTAAAGAGCAACCAAGTTCAGGTATGGCATCCAGCCCAAGCACAACCTCACCGAATTCTTCCGCACGCGGTTCACCTACAGCTTCAACTCGGGCAACCCCTCTGGAGAGATCCAGGACTTGGTTAGGGTTTAGGGTTTAGGGTTTTAGGGTTTAGGGTTTAGGGTTTAGGGTTTAGGGTTTAGGGGTTTAGGGTTTAGGGTTTAGGGTTTAGGGTTTATCCCTAAACCCTTTTTTTGGTTCTGGTTTCCCTTATAAAGTGACTAACCAAATAAGGGTGCCCTAATTATAACATGGGTACTGGGCTACTAACCCTAAACCCTAAATCCTAAACCCTAAACCAGGAGCTCTTCCTAAAGCACTACGTAGAGCTCTTCCCGTCGACACCGATCTTCATTGCCGAGTATCACAACCCCGGTAATCCAGACTTGCAGGGAGACCTGGAGGAAACTCGATCCCCCCCTTGGGAGTTATTATTTTTTGTTTAGGGTTTAGGGTTTAGTGTTTGTAAAAACCCAAGAGGATATTAGCAATAGTCTTTTTATTAAGGTTCTAAGGGGAGTAGAGGAAATCTTGAGTGTTGCCGCGAGCTCGTCTTTGCTTCTTGGCATCAGCTTCTTCGAGTTCCAGAATCGGTACGACCAAGCAGGGCACTTGGTCTGGGGAATGTTCGACCCTCAGAAGGACCTCAGGGTTTAGGGTTTAGGGTTTAGGGTTTAGGGTTTAGGGTTTAGGGTTTAGGGTTTCTGGATGGCTCATGCTGCCTTAGGGGGTGCACGGGTAGCCTTTGTGCATACGGATGACTCAAATTACTACGGTATAGATTCTCGGAACCCGACACAGGAACCAACCAATTGTTGAACAAAAGCATGCCCTCTGGAGGACGCGCAGAAGACAATGCGTCTCAAGTTCGAGGAGTTCGAGTCAGCTGTCCCCTGCCTCAGCCCCATCTACGATGAGGGCACGGCGGACGGAATCCGGACCATCGTCGAGCAGCTCACTGCTGAGCCTTGCCTTGGAAGTTTTCGCACGGAACACCAAGCCTTTTAGACCCAAGCAGCCCGAGAACTACGGCGAATCATGCGCTGGAAGCCCACTAAAACGCCACACCAAGGGTACCCTAAACCCTAAACCCATATAAACCCTAAATCCCTCAGCCCCTAAGACCCTAAACCCATATAAACCCCTAAACCCTAAACCCCCGTAAACCCTAAACCCAACAGCAGCACCAAGGCCTACGGAGGACCGGGCATCAGCCCGAAGCGCCTTTGCACACCCAATCCGCAGGAGGTGGTGATCAGCAAGCACGGATTCCATCAGATGGCGGGCCTTGCTGTTTGCGTTGCACGCTAGCCCTAAACCGCCCTAAACCCTAAACCCTAAACCCTAAACTCCCTTATGTGGGGGCGGCCAGGTCGGCCTGAACAACGTCTCGGCCATGCAGCAGTTCGTCAACCGAGTCGTGGAGAAGCTGGGAGGATTCGTTCCCTACGTCGTTCCAAAGGAGTTCCCCTGACTCGATTTAGGGTTGAGGGTTTAGGGTTTAGGGTTCAGGGTTAGTTTAGGGTTTAGGGTTTAGGGTTTCCTTGTGGGTCGGCATTGGCCTGAGTGGAACTCGGCTCGTGCTGCGATCGGGCTTCAGCTCCCCGAGTCAAAAGGGTTTCCTTGTGCAATGAAAGTTTTGAGGAAAGTGTTTTGGCTGTCGTCCCCGAAGGAGTCGCCCTGACTCTGCTTATTGGCCTTCCTTCTGCGCCAACAACAAATAAGTGGAGCTTATCGGCAAATCCTAAAACCCTAAAACCCTAGACCCTAAACAACAGCTTCCAAGATGGTTCTTTGTGCCGCTTGTGCCGCTTGTACCGCTTGTGCTGCTTGCGCTGCTTGCGCTGCTTGTGCTGCTTGTGTTGCTTGTGATTCTAGTCCAGCTCGATCATGAGCTTGTATGCAAGTGCCAGATTTTGCGCTGTTGTTCGCAATTACCACTGCTGCGGAACAAAAGCCCCTAAAAAACTCTAAAGCCCTACGACTCTAAAGCCCCAAAACCCTAGAACCCTAAAACCTCAAACCCTGAAACCCTAAACCCTAAACCCTAAACCCTAAACCTAAACCCTAACTAAACCCTAACCCCGAAACCCCTAAACCCCTAAACCCCTAAACCCTAAACCCAGGTTTGCCGAGCTGTTCCTACATCCTCAATCCAGCTACCGCGACCTGGAGGCCATGTTGGTCGGACATCCGCAGTGGGCAAGGTGGGACACCTTCTCGGCCTGTTCCTTGTTGGGACCCATTAGTGGGAACCTCGGGTTTAGGGTTTGGGGTTTAGGGCTTAGGGTTTAGGTTTAGGGTCTAGGGTTTAGGGTTTAGGGTTTAGGGTTTAGGGTTTGGGGTCGTGTGCCCTATACTACGACTGTAATCCCTCTTCAGGTATACAAGCCATAAACCCCTTTTAAGGTTCATTGGCTCCCCGAAGTTTAAGGTACTGTCGACAAGAGCGCGCTTGAGTCCACGCTGGGCGGCAAGATTGGCTACATCTGCGGGCAAGGCTACGCTGACTGCTCGAAGATTCCCCCCATCTGCAAGAAGCTTACTTCGCCTTAAGTTGAACTTTAAACCTTTTGGGTTTCCTGATTATTATTTAGCAGGAATATTCAAGTTTAACCTTGATTTCCCCTTGGTTATTGGAGAAGTAAGGAAGAACGTGTGGGACACGGCCTCATGGGTTTTCGGGTCACACTTCCGGGAGCTCATGTACGCCAGGGATGAGACTCCCAAGCCGCTACAGCACTGCTACTTGGACGGCGCTGCGCAGTTTGTGAGGTCGAGCATCTGGAAGAAGTCTTCCTTGAGGCACGCGTGCATCGTGCCAGTGGGGTGGACAGACCCCAACAAGGTGTTTATCACCCAACATGGCTTCTACTTGGTTTGGAGCGATCACGACCCGATTGCCATGAAGGTTTTCATCCAGCGGGCGGTGGAACACACGGGTGGAGAGGCGACTGGGACCGAGCTTCAACCCACAAATCCTCAAAACCCTATATGAACCCCAAACCCACAAACCCGGGTTTAGGGTTTAGGGTTTAGGGATTAGGGTTTAGGGTTTAGGGTTTAGGGTTTAGGGTGAACAAAAGCCCCAAAATTGCTCGAAAAGGTGAGGGAGCGGGTGCCCCGGCGGTTTGTGGCAAGGATGTTGGGCTTGGAGGCCAGTTTCAAGAGCCTCCAAGCAAAACTCGCCAGACGACCAGCCTGGGCGCCCTGTCTGGTTTAGGGGTTAGGGGTTAGGGTTTAGGGTTCAGGGCTTAGGGCTTAGGGCTTGGGGTTTGGGGTTTGGGGTTTGGGGATTTTGGTTTTTCTGTAAGGGTGTTGCGCCAGTTCTTCTTTTCATCTATCTTTCTGCCCGAAACTCCAATACATCGGAATCCTCAGTGCCAGCACCGGTCGCATCTGAACTCCTCTAGGGTTTAGGGTTTAGGGCTTAGGGTTTAGGGTTTAGGGTTTAGGGTTTAGGGTTTAGGGTTTAGCTCCTCGCAAGCCAAGGCCTTCTGGCCTGCAGAGGCCGCGTGTGTTCCCGACCGCGCCGCAAAGGCCAGGGACGTTGGCTCCGCCACTTACTTCGCCTTCAGTTGAACTTTCGACTTTTTGGGTTTTCCTTTTTTGGTAGGAATATTGAAGTTTCTTCGCCTTCAGTTGAACTTTCGACTTTTTGGGGTTTCCTTATTTAGTAAGAATTTTTAAAGTTTTTTACAAACACTCTTTAGACTTTTTGGGTTTCCTTATTTGGTAGGAATATTGAAGTTTAAGATTTTTTAGCCTTGGTTATTGGAGAAGTAAGGCCATCGGACAGGTTTGCAGCAAGGTGTGGGGGGCGGAAAACAGAGTTACTGAGGATTCGGAGGGTTGCGCCCTAGCGTACCGAGTTGATGCTGAGGAAACCTGAACCCCAAAGCCTAAATTCTGACAAGTAGTTTCAGGATTCTGGGGAAACCCTAAACCCTAAACCCTAAACCCTATGGCATGTGGACCCCTGACAAAGGGCCTCTTCGACTGCGCCACGATCCCGGAATCATGCAAAGGCAATGTCTGGGACACTGCAGCCTACGCCTTCGGGTCTTACTACAAGGTGCCAAACGGGTAGTTCTCTAAATTAACCCTAAACCCTGAACCCTAAACCCTAAACCGGACTCTAAATTTAGGGGCAACTTTTAGGGGTACCCTTTTTCGCACGGCACCCTTAATCGAAAGGGACCCTTAATGTAGAGAGCTACCCAAGTAGTAATTACGGTTTTCTCCTTCTCTTTTTTGTGGAGGGGTGTGGGGGGGGGGGGGGGGGGCGTAGATTTAGGGTCTAGCTGGTGAAGGCCTTGCGACAGCGGTCGGACAAAGCGGATCCTCTCTATGACTGTGGCCCCGTCCTTGTTGGGTACCAATTTTGCTTATTTTAATGTTCAGGCTGAAATGTGCTTCAGGTTGTAGGACTGCTTCAATCAGCGAAAAGCCTGAGCCAGGCGAATTCACGGGCAAGGCGGTCTTTGCAAATCCCAAGTTGTACAGCACGTTCAATTTGACAAAATCGTGCGTAGTCACAGTGCCCACAATTGCAGACACGAATTACAGCTAGACAGACTGGCCAAAAGACTTGGCGAACATGGCATATGATGAGAAGTGTGCAAGACAGCGAGCAAAAAGAGCGACGCCAATCAGCGCCGTGAGCAAAAAGGCTATTGCTTCCTCCGTGTTTGCTGCTCCTGCTCCCAGGGAGACCCAACAAACCTCTTCGCATACGTGCAAAGTGTTTGTGTTGTAGGGGGTAGCGGTCTTGCTTGTGAAAGAGATAGCAGTTGGGCAGGTTGCTTCCATGAGGGTAGCAAAGGCCGCTCCACTTCGCGATCTGGCTGGCGTCTACAGCCACGTCCCATGAGGACAACGCCGACTTCTGCGAGGAGTGGGAAGCACAGCTACTCATGTGTCCGGTGTGAGAGAGAGCGAGCGAGAGAGAGAGAGAGAGAGAGTTAGAGAGAGAGAGTGAGAGAGAGAGAGAGAGAGAGAGAGCGAGATAGGGAGAGAAGGAAACAAAAAGGTGCTTTTGGGGGCCCCAGGCTAGGAATAGATGCGCAGCAGCAGGAGGGTACCGTTGGCGTTGTGTGGTAGGCACGCGGCAGCAACAGAGGCACTAGATGTAGCATAATTCACGGGTGTGTCAACTCACTGGCAATCCCCAAAGGCGTATGATTCAGTAGTCCCGATGTGCTGCAGTTTCGAGAACCCCCCCTAGAAATAACAACAAGAAAGAAGACGAGAGAGAGAGAGAGAGAGAGGAGAAGCGTTTAGGGTTGAGGGGGTTCTAGTAGGGTTGGCAGAGGGGGCTTCGCCACTCACGGAACCTGCGAGTCTCGCCCCGAGGGGGGGCGACCCCCTTCTCGATGCCCCGGAAAGAAAGAAGGAGGGAAGAAGGGGGGGGGGGGGCGGCCACTTCGGTGGCCAAGCATGATGGAAGGAAGGAGAAAGAGAGACGATTTTCGTGTTGCATGTTCTGGGTTGGAGTACAGTCTGCCTTTGGAGTTGGTAGTTGTTTTCGTGTTGCAAGCCTCAGCTCTCACGAAACCCGACGGTATGAGCCGAAGCATCTAAGCGACCCAGTCCATCTGCGAGGATGTCAAGATTCTGCTGCCGCTGGGTGCAAAGATCGAGTTGGCTCTGGCCAGCTGCGTAGGACGCATCTCTTGAGTCTTGTGCAGTCAGAAGAGCCCACAATTCCGTAAACCCTAAACCCTAAACCCTAAACCCTAAACCACCCTAAACCCTCCGTTCGTAAGGTGGGCCAAAGCAGAGCCTGATTCCTGCGCGACCTACATGCGGAAGAACCAGGCTGGGTTCCATGGGTGCAGGGGTTTGTGTGTCTTCCCGGTTCCGGAGGGATCAAAGGTGGCTTCAAAGAAGGGGGTTTCGGGGGTTGGGGTTTATAGAGTTGAGGGTTTAGGGTTTAGGGATAAGCTCTAGCGGTTTGTAGTAAGGGGTTTACCCAAAACGCTTGGCTTCTGTCTTGCATCGTGGCTTTCTAGTCCTTCGCCTGCTACACATACTGAATCTGCAGTTTGGAAACTTCATATATCCGTGCACACATATTGGTTTTTTCGAAAATGCATCCCTAAACACCATAAAACCCAAACCCTAAAGCCCCGTTGCCCCGTGGAGCATGGCTAGACGGGTGGGACAAAAAACCGAAACTCCAATTCTCCCCAAAGCCCTAAACCCTAAACCCCCCCCTCCCCCTAAGAACCCGCCCCCCCCCCCCCTAAACCCTAAGACCTAAGCCCTAAGCCCTAAACCCTAAACCCTAAAACCTACCCTAAACCCTAAACCCCCCCCCCCCCCCCCAAAAAAAAGCCTTCAATCCTTGGACCTGACCGAGGCCGTGAGGCTTCCTGCCCTGCACATTGCAGCGGGCCTGGGTCGCTTGGTTTCAGAGCTTGGGATTTAGAGGGCGTAGGGCTTAGGGCCCAGGGCGTAGGGCTTAGGGCTTAGGGTTTAGGTAAGGTTCAGGGTTTAGGGTTTAGGGGGCTTAGGGCTTAGGGTTTAGGTGCCAGTGTTGCTGGTTTGTGGTTTCTTGAGCTTCGCTGCTGGGAAGCTAACGTTAGACCGTTGTGGGCATTCCCAGATGTTATATAGTTGCTTTCTCCCGGAAACTCAGCCAACATGTCAGTTTCAGGCATGTAGCCTTTCATTTCTTCTTGGGCATAGGATGGTAGCTACCAAGCATCTGGCGGCCACATTGTCCGAGGGTTCCCACCCCAATTCGTTGACACTCCTGCTGAACATCCGCTGAAGGTGTGATCGAAGCTATGGAAGCTTTGCTCGGTCAGTGGCCAGGCTGCACAAAGTGTCGGAACATGGCGAGGCGTTGATTTCTTCCTGTCGACAAAAAACTCATTCTCTAGGCAGGCAGTTCATGACTTGCGCTACCAGGGATATTTCCTAAAACAGTCGGTGCCCGTAGTTTTGGGCAACTTCATGTACGAGTGTTTGATGTTTGTGAAGAAGACTCTGGCCAAAGCCAGCTGGCTTCAGGTTTCCTCCAGGAGACGCCGTAGAGGAGGAGCTCGACAGATACTGCTTCCTGGATTCAGATTCCATAGTTCGACTTGAATCCTAGCAGTTTTTTCGGAATCAGAAGGGAAAGACGTGTATAGTTTGTCGATATCTCTCAGAAGTCATGCCATTGCTGTTGGTGCCTAGTCGTCATTGGGGCGTTTTCGCCTGACATCTGGCAGCCGCCAGTCGTGAGCTAACGCATCTGCAGTCTCCAATCGCCCTGGATGCTTAGACTCTGCCCTTTGGCGGCTTCCTTCTCACACCATGTCTGTTCCCTAAACCCTAAACCCTAAACCCTAAACCCTAAACCCTAAACCCTAAACCCTAAACCCTAAACCCCCTTAACGAAGTCCGCATCATGCTTGCGCAAGGCCTGTGTGGCGACACGGCCTTCTACTGCGCACTGCATGACGCCGTCTTCAACGGCAAAGCCAAGGTCTCCATACAGTGGGACTTGAGGGTTACGGGTTAGGTTAGGGGTTTAGGGGTTTAGGGTTTAGGGCTTAGGGTTTAGGGTTTAGGGTTTAGGGTTTAGGGTTTAGGGTTTAGGGTTTAGGGTTTAGGGTTTAGGGTTTAGGGGGGTTTGGGAAAGCTTCCCCCCATGGTTGTGAAAGTGCCTGCGGGGCCTACATGCTTAGCTCGGGGCATCATTTCTGCATGTTCCGGGCCTTGCATTGCATTGTTTTTTTGGCATGGGATGGCGATATGCACTCTCGGCTGCGCCATGCAGATGGCGACAAAGGGAGACGAGCCAACTTAGTATCTCCCACATGCATTCAGAACCAAATCCCTAAACCCTAAACCCTAAACCCTAAACCCCCCGTAGGCCTACAGAATCCTCAGCCCGAATGAAGGCGGCGGTGTGGCTGCTCGAGCAAAAGGCGAATCCTTCCGATTCTTGGCTCCTTTGGACGTCAGACACGCAGGCAGCGGTTCCTGAAGGCACACCCCCTAGGGCTCCCTAACCCTAAACCCTAAACCCTAAACCCTAAACCCTAAACCCTAAACCCTAAACCCTAAACCCTAAACCCTAAACCTCTATCTTGCGGATTGCGGGAGCTCGGTAAAGCAAGCACTCCTTCATCTTTGCCTGCACTTGCCCACACGAGGTAAAGAATATGGAGGGCTTCACAGCTCTGCACTGGCTTGCCTTGCGTGGTATGGATGATGATGACGACGTGGAGGTGGGAGTCGGGTTGTAGGCTGTGACGCAGTCGAGTCCCTTGGCGAAGAGTGGCCAGGGTGTGACAGCTAGGCGTCTAAACTTGCTTGGGTGGGGGGGGGGGGGCTCGGAAGCAAACAGGTTTCTGCGTGAGCCAATCGATGTCCCACATCCCGAAAACCCGAAACCCTAAACCCTAAACCCTCCAAAGGTCGTCGTCCGCTCCCTGATCCGTGCCCGCGCCGCAGTTGACGAGGGCACCGAGGATGACCATCGCCCCACGTCCGTCACTGCTTAGACTCTTATGAGGGTTACCCTAAACCCTAAACCCTAAACCCTAAACCCTAAACCCTAAACCCTAAACCCTAAACCCTACCGCTTTATGGGCTCCGAGGCTTCTGGGGCATGGCAGGCGCTTCCTGTTGTTGGGAATTGTGCTTGAACATATTAAGGGTTTAGGGTTTAGGGTATCACATTTTAAACTGTCAGATGTATGCGTTGAACATCGAAAATGCATAGTGTCTATCCAGCCATGTAGAATTGCATTCATCGTACGTTTTGGGGATCTGTTGCTGTGACTTGGAATCCGCCGGGATAGATGAACTAGGTGGTTCTTCGAGGACATAGCCAGCACATTATTGCATACATGTATTTGTTCTACATTATCTTATGGCAGTTCCCTGGCCAGTCTTGGGAAAAGTTGACTTACATGGTCCTTGTGAATGCTCCTGCAACTGCTATGTGCAGATGTTTTTTGCCACCTAAGCCCTACAAAGAAGATTTCATGAAATTGCCACAGACAAGCCAATGCCATGGCAAGAGAGCTTCCCCAAGGCTTCATGGAGGTTAGTGTCCTTTCCCTCTGGGCTATGGGGACATCCCCACTTCATTCCCAGCTCAGGCGAAGCTGTTGCCCTAAACCCTAAACCCTAAGCCCTAAACCCTAAACCCTAAGCCCTAAACCCTAAACCCTTAACCCTTAACATCCCTTAACCCTAAACCCTAAGCCGTTGTTTGGGCCTTTCGTGCTTAAAATCGATGGGCTTGTACAAGAAGACACCGCCCCTAGGCTTTTCGTCGACCCTTCCAGCCTGCACAGAGACCATATCGGCTCGAGGTCCCCCATGCTTCAAGCTTTAGCTAACCTGACCCCCTAGAACCCTAAACCCTAAACCCTAAACCCTAAACCCTAAACCCTAAACCCTAAACCCTAAACCCTAAACCGAACAGCAATTTGAGAAGCGACGGCACTTTTGCATGCTGCGCCGATGACACTCTTCAAGAACGATATCGAAGCGGCCGTCGAGATTGATTGTGGCACGGGATGGATGGTCCTCTACCCAAGGCAGAAGACTGAAATCACACCAGGTGCAGAATCAATCCGCATCCGACTCCGAGAGGATTGCAGCATCGCGTCAGAAGTATATATCCATGCCGAAGCCAGGCTGCTCAGCTGCGAAATCTGCACATCGGATCTCGGGCCTTTCAACCTCCAAGCCGACAAGTGGCTGGAGCGGGAGAGGATGTCGGTCGCTTTAGCTGAAGCGCAAGCCTTACTCCGAAAGGTGCGACATGATGGCACGAAACAAAAGGAAGCGGTCAAGCAGGGTTCAGTTTGGGTGCTTCGCGCTTCTGCCTTTGCACTCCTCTACATGATGCTGGCGCTGGGTTTGTCAATGATTGCGCTTCTAGTGGCGCCAGGACTGCTCATGAAAGGATACGTTGCTTTCTGTTCCTTATCTGCTGTTGGCATGTGGACGGTGGTGCACAGGCCTCTGCAGCCTGTCGTGCAAAAGTACGGAACGCGCATCATTCATCTGGGCTTTTGGTCTGCGTTCCTGAGTCTTCTTCTTGGCCCTTATATGCTTTTCATTCTCGTCCGGTGCCACAAGAATGATGATATCCTGGAGTGCATGATGGAAGGAATGGACATCACAGACTTCATTCCGCTTTGTCTGATTCCCGTCGGTCTTGTCATCCATGGCTTGGTCAGAAGATTCAACCCCAAGATGGCGGTCAACTTTTATCCGGATTTGTTGGAACAGCAGGCTGTTCAACAAGCAATCGAAAACAGCATCGTCTTTCACGGCCGGGTGCTTGAGGGTCGAGGCAGAGGATGCGTGTGTTCCTGGCCCGGGAAGTATGCATCTGCATGGGACGCAATGGTGCGAAGCAGCAAGCAGGGCAACACAAGTGCAGCTGTGGTGTTTCTACCAGAGGGCAGCGAACTTTTTGGTCTCCATGACCCAATCCCGGACGAGCCTGACCTAAGGGACCTCAATGGTGCCTGGGCCTTCCTGGAGAAGTCTGAACGAGTGTATCTACATGTATGTTGATATTCAGATGTTTTTCTACAGATGTATCTCTGCATATGTATGTATAGATATCTAATATCTGTTTATATAAAATACATGGTGCCTCCAAAGTGAACTCATTTCAACATGTAGGTTCCCTCTCGTAGGATTCTGTCCGAAAGAGGCTTTAATATGAGTAGGGTGTATTTCAGCTCGGCTTGGTTTTTGCCCAGTCAAAACTCTATTTCAGTTGGGGGAGGGGGAGGGGGGTCCTTTTGGTTGCATTTAGGGTTCGGGGTTTCGGGGTGCGGTCTCAACTGGGCTTTGATGACAGCAGCAACTCTTGCTAGGGCTTTTTCTCAGGTAAGACCGCTTGAGCTAGGTAACCAGGTTGCCAACTCGTTCGGTTTGTAAGCATTTTGCTTCAGATAGAAGATTTCGATCACTCGGTTTCTTGCACGCGAGCTTCATCCCAGTTAGGATTCTAGCATAGGCAACATGCCCTTCCACTAAGATGACAACTCCCATCTAGAGCCGAAAACTAAGGCTAAGGTTTCGGTCAGACTCTTCTCAACCATGCCTTATCCCAATAGCTTGATTTCCACTGAACTTTGGCTCGGGGAGTTGAGGGTTTAGGGTTTGGGGCCCTAAACCCTAAATCCTAAACCCTTCTAAACTGGACAGATTAGCAGCACATGGAACTGATTTGGCTCAATGGTGACATGGCTGCTCTGCAGAGCACGAGATGTGCCTCGTGCCCTCCTGTACGTACTTCAATGACTTCCGGTGTGTTTTCGCACGCGCGTGTCCCAGCAACTGCCCTTCAGTCTCCTCTTTCGGTATAGGTGAGCAGAAAATCAGAACTGAGTGACATTGTTCGGCTGCGGTTTAGGGTTTCGCAAGAGCCAGGCAAGAACTTGGAGCACGAGCACGGGACCTTTAGGCGAGAGCGCTGAGGCCCGCCAACAGACACGACAGCTCTGCACTTCACAAGGAGCCTTTGCAGAGGACCCCGGCGAGAGTGCCATATACCCCTAAACCCCAAACCCTAAACGCCGCGACATGCCAATCCCTATATCGAAGTGAGCCAATCCAGCAGCCCAAAACGCAGGAAAGGATGCGCCTGCCATGTGCTTGGGAGATGGAGCGATGGCACGGGACCCAAGCGGGAGCACGATTTCGAGTACGGAACGTGCACGGCATCTAGGCAGATGGTATCGAAAAGGAGCATTGCAGGCACGCCGCCTTGCCTCTTCAGCAATTTGAGCCCCTTACGTTGGGTGTGTTGGAGCCCCCTCAGGAAGCCCAAAGTGTTGGCAGAGCCAAGCTTCTCTCGAGCTCGGTGCAAAGAAAGATGATACATGGCAGCTCTGCAAAGACAAGAACGGCTTGGTAGCCCAGCGGTACGCCTTTCTCTTTCTTTGTCTAGGTTACCTTCTAAAGTACTCGGTCGAGCCAACCCAAAAAGTGTAGCCTTATCATAATATGGTTACTGGGGTCACCGAGACCATTAGTGTTTCTTATTTAATCTGTGCATCATCGACGTTTGGGCACAGAATGGTGATCTTCTTTAAGCTCTTCTTGAGTATGAACGTTTGGTTGAGATAAGTTCTCAGCGCTTGGAAGCCGTTTTGAATCTGGAAAGTTCTTTTTTAAAATCCTGCTGGTGAAACCTCCGAGTACAGTAAATTGTGCGGGGGTGCAAGTGCGCCTTACTGCAAAATTTGAGTATCATGTGAACGCTACTGACAAATTTCGCGTGTACTCAGGACCACAACGACATGCACCACCGAAACGATAGTGGAAGTGGCTCTGGTATATGCACATACACGACACTTCGCTTGCCTGAACTCCCCAAACACTCTGCCGGTCTCTTGGGGTGCTCCTCAAAGGTCCTACACTCTTTGGGGTCTACGTCTATGCTGTCAGAGTCCGCGTTCGGTTTGAAAAGGGATCCTGAAAGGGACCGATCTGAGGTGCTTGCTGGTGTGTCTCGTTGTATGGAGAGAGGAAGCCCTGGGGATGTAAGTGGTGGACAAGATGGATAGCCAACATTGAAGAGGCCGTACAGCAAGGCGCAAAGCTGGAAGTCTATTTCTTCCAAGACTTGCGAGGGAAAGGCAAAGCGGAGAGCTTCAGCACCGTCGGGTCTGAGCACCTCCGGCGCGAGGCGCTGCAGCGCCTGAAAGACAGCGAGTTTCAGAGCTCTGAGGTTTTCAAAGATGCACAGGCGTCGGGCCTGGAAGAGCTGTCCAAAGTGAAGAGGGAAGATGGCTCGTCACAGTACAGCCGCGAGAAGGATCGCCTGTTTCTCGGCTGGCTCCCCGCCGAGGACCGGCAATTTCTCAGCGCCTCGGTGGGACTGGGGGAATCGCAAAAAGCAGAGGTGGCATGGCTTGAGAGGAAAGGCCTCTCTTACGAAGAAGTTGATGTTAAGAAGTGGCTGTATATGTAGCCGCGCCTGAGTAGTACCGGAGTTCAAAGGTTCTGCCCCTTTGCATCTGTTTCAATGACATGTTGCAGCTGCATAATGCGGCTCAGGATGGCCCATTCGTAAAATACGACGGGGTTTTTGTCACCGTGCTTCTGGCGAGAAGCCTTTTTCAGAGATTTCAATGGAAGGATTCAGCATCCGACAATGATCACGCACCACGGCCCTTGCGCAAGAGTTTGTTGAATAATCCCTCCTCTCCCTCCCAGGTGCCAACCATCGTACATGCTAAAGCCAAAGAATCTTGACCTCAAACTTTAGGGAATAGGGCGGCCTACAGGTTTCAAACCCTAAACCCTAAACCCTAAACCCTAAACCCTAAACCCTAAACCCTAAACCCTAAACCCTAAACCCTAAACCCTAAACCCTAAACCCTAAACCCTAAACCTAATGGGTGAGCAGCCGAGTTCGCGGCAGAATTCCGCTGGAGATGGCCGTGAAGCCGGGGAGCTTGTTTCCCAAGCACTTGCGCCTGGGCGTCGAGGGTTTAGGGTTTAGGGTTTAGGGTCGAGGGTTTAGGGTTTAGGGTTTAGGGTTTAGGGTTTAGGTTGGGATTTTCCCCCTTATACTAACAGTTCCTTAGCATGGATTATAATAGGGGGGTACGAAAAATTCTGTGAAGGACTGTTAGTATAAGGGAGAACAACCCTAAACTCGGAACTTCGAAAAATGCCCACCCACCCGGAGTCCCCATAACATTAAGAAATACAAAGTTTCTTCTTATTATTCGCATGACCACGAGTTTTTGGGCCTTGACCACGAATTTCTTGGCCCTGCCCACGATTTTTGAGCCTTGCCCACGAATTTTCGTGGGCAAGGCCCAAAATCCGCCAGGCCCACGAATGTTTGGGCCTTGCCCACGAAATTTTGGGCCTTGCCCACGAAATTTGGCCTTGCCCACGATAACCATTAAGGTTTATACTTATATGGTAGGAGGGTGTAGCGTGTTAGGCTGGACCAGGGGGCTTATAGGGTTGAACCATAGGTTTCCCGAAATAGGGATACCCCTCTGAGGGCTGCTGAGGAAAGGATTATAACTTTTCGAGAATAGGGCTTAGGGCTCAGGGTTTAGGGTTTAGGTTTTGGGGCGGGGGGCTGCTATATTAAGTATTAAGGATGGCAACTGACAAGCTTGACTTGCCATCACCCTAAACCCTAAAATCCTAAACCCTAAACCCTGAACCCTAAACCCTAAACCCTATTATTAGTAAGTAGGGTTTACTAGAAGCAGGCTGGGTTCCTACGGGTTTCCAGGGTTTGGGGCTCCTGGCGGCACTGTCGACATCATGAAGTTGTCGGGCGTGACAAAGCCCTAAACCCTGAAGCTCATTGAGCCCAGAACAGTTTCTGTTTGATAAGATCCATTAATATATCGCATATATACATATATACATATATGTGCTACATATATATGTATGTATGTATGTATGTATGTATGTATGTATGTATGTATGTATGTATGTATGTATGTATGTATGTATGTATGTATGTACAGCTGAATATACACACATATAGAGACTTGTAATATAGACCTCGCCTCACTCTTGTTGGGAGCCGAGGCTCTATTTGCTCGCTCCCTCGTACCAGGCAAGTGCGCAGTGGGATTCGGGAGAACCCCCGAGGGTTTCGGGTTTAGGGTTTAGGGTTACCCCACCCCCGAAAAATTTACGTCCTGAATAGTCCGACACCTTTAAGGGCCCGAAGCCCTAATCCTGTGTGAACCCGATGCGCCCTGAACCTGCTAGACACGAAACCCCGAAGCCCACCCGACGCCCCACCAACCTGCTTGACCTTCTCTAGCTCTCCATCCAGTTTTCAAGTGAGGTTTTTCATGTGAGGCAACAATCGCGACTTCCCTTTAGGCTGTTGAAGTCCACAACCCGGGCGTCATATCACCTGGGCCTCAAGGGTTCCACCTTGGAATGACAGTTGACTGCGTTCCTCGCCTGGCTTCCCCGAGTGTGAGCGATTAAAGCAAGCAAGCCTGTGCATCACCACGCCTTGGACCCTAAACCCTAAAACCCTAAAACCCTAAAACCCTAAAACCCTAAAACCCTAAAACCCTAAAACCCTAAAACCCTAAAACCCTAAAACCCTAAAACCCTAAAACCCTAAAACCCTAAAACCCTAAAACCCTAAAACCCTAAAACCCTAACCCCCTAAAACCCTAAAACCCTAAAACCCTAAAACCCTAAAACCCTAAAACCCTAAAACCCTAAAACCCTAAAACCCTAAAACCCTAACACCCTAAAACCCTAAAACCCCCAAACCCTAAAACCCTAAAACCCTAAAACCCTAAAACCCTAAAACCCTAAAACCCTAAAACCCGAAAACCCTAAAACCCTAAAACCCTAAAACCCTAAAACCCTAAAACCCTAAAACCCTAAAACCCTAAAACCCTAAACCCTAAACCCTAAACCCTAAACCCTAAACCCTAAACCCTAAACCCTAAACCCTTGCCTGCCTTGCGCGAGTGCGAGAGCCGAAACCCCAAACCGGCATGAAGGTTCTCGAGCAGAAGGCGCACGCTATGCACATACCGCGCTGCTCCTTCTTCGAGGCGATACTGTTTGTGAAACCCTAAACCCTAAACCCTAAACCCTAAACCCTAAACCCTAAACCCTAAACCCTAAACCCTAAACCCTAAACCCACGTTGGCGCCCGATATTCGCTCTTTGGAGATGGTGCTGCAGAAACCCTAAACCCTAAACCCTATACCCTAAGGCTCTTTAGGCAAGAGCCCCAGCCCCAACCTCCGCCAAACCTAAACCCTAGCCATGGGAAGCTGAAGCCCAAACCGCCGCCCCGATTTGGAACCTTTAGAACTCAAGATCAAACACTTGCGGTTTAGGGTTTAGGGTTTAGGGTTTAGGGTTTGGGTTTAGGGTTTAGGGTTTAGGGTTTAGGGTCTCCCTAAACCCTAAACCCTAACCTCAGGGTCGCGATTGGGTTTGAGGCTTGTGTTGGGTTCAGGCCTGAAAGTTTTCGGGGCTTTCAGTAAGTTTTAGGATGTGGGGGTTTCAGGTCGGTTCTGGGTTGAGTGAGGCTGCGCGGTTTGGGGTTTTGCGGTGCTTCGCGTTCAGGTGTCGGGGTTTAGGGTTTAGGGGTACCGGACTTGACTTAAGGCTGCTTACTGTTAAGGCGGTAAATAGGAATAGTAATAGAGCAAGAAACAGTAACAACAATCGTAAATAGTAATAGTAGTAATAGTAATAGTAATCGTAATCGTAATCGTAATAGTAATCGCAATAGTAATAGTAATAGTAATAGTAATGGCAATTGGGAGCCCTTGACCACACCGCAGGATCTCGCCCTCATGTCGGGCCACAGCGGCAAGGCAGCGCAGGAGGGGCGCGATGCCTAAACCCTAAACCCTAAACCCTAAACCCTAAACCCTAAACCCTAAACCCTAAACCCTAAACCCTAAACCCTAAACCCTAAACCCTAAACCCTAAACCCTAAACCCTAAACCCTAACCCCTAAACCCTAAACCCTAACCTTCTTTTAAGGGTGCCTTTTTTTGTTGTCTCTGGTGGGCAGGACTTCGCCGACCGGGTAGCCCGCATGCCAGGCCCTGCTGCAAAGCACAAGGCCTGGTCGCACAGGAGGGTTTAGGGTTTAGGGTTTAGGGTTTAGGGTTCAGGGTTTAGGGTCTAGGGTTTAGGGTTTAGGGTTTCTAACAGAATCCGTGCATGTGCCCTGAGCGACTGCCATTGTGTTGAAAGTGAGTCCGAACTCCCCCCGCTAGAGTTGTCATGGAGACAATTGTTGTGGGCGCTGCCCGGCCCAGGCGAAGTGCGAAGTCTGTTGCAAAAGAGTTTCTCGGGATTGGGGGCTTAAGGAGTGGGGTGTAGGGCCTCAGGAGTTCGGTAGGGCCCTTGGAAAGGACGAAACAAAGAAAGGAATATTGAACGCATTCCCCCTTGTCTTCACAAGCACGATCTTTCAATCCTGGCGAAGCATTCTGCTGTTGATCCTCACAATGTCTTTCTTTTGCAAATGCCCCGCGGCCCCCCCCCCAACCCCCCAGCTATGATGCGCGGTGTTTGTCTGTCGGTGTCGGAACGCGTGCGCAAGCAAAAATGCGACAAGGTGGCCTCAACCCTAAACCCTTAACCCTTAACCCTTAAACCCTTAAACCCTTAAACCCTTAAACCCTTAAACCCTTAAACCCTTAAACCCTTAAACCCTTAAACCCTTAAACCCTTAAACCCTTAAACCCTTAAACCCTTAAACCCTAAACCCTAAACCCAGACAAAACGGCAACAAACGCAGAATAACAAGGCGAAAAGCAACTGGCCCCCCTGAGAGGCCATCGTTGATGCACAAGATGAGAACGCGGCTGACTGCATCTCTCAATGGACTTAAAGGAGGGATCCTGAGAAGGGACCCGAGGGGCTCTCTGGGGGCTGCTTGGGTTCTTAAGGATTATATAAGGATTATATAAGGATTATATAAGGATTATATAAGGATTATATAGGGTGTGTGTATACATGTATATGGGGGGCAAAAAAAGTATTGTATAGGCGTCCCCCAAGGGAGCGCTTACACATAGAGGGTTAACAACAGTCTGAGGTATGGCCAGCCTTCTGCAGACGCACTGCCGCACAGAGACTGCTTTGCTGAAGCCGCTGTCGGGGGGGAAGTGCTGCGGGAGGAACTTCTCGCCCGAGTTTTGCCAGCCCAGGAGTTCACCCCAAACCCTGAATCCCTAAAGGTGATGTGGATCCGCCCAAGCTGTGCAGGGAGAACAGCAACTTCCCACGATTAGGAAGCAGTTTGTATGATTGGCGAAGCTGGACCCTAAACTGTTTACACTTCTCTCGATGAATGGACATTTCCGGAATGAGTCCCTGCAAAATGCGGACTGAGTGTCAGCTAGGCGGGTGGCAACAAAAACTAAACTTCAGCGGCATGTCTTGGGAAGGCGTGTCTCTAATCTCGGGCCTTAAATTTGGATTTTCCAGTGTGAGAAGTGTACTTTGCAGAAGCCGCTTCCCAAAAAAACAGGGGTACCCCGAATACCCCCAATTACATACATATGTATATATATACACATGTATATATATATATACATATATATATATATATCCGCCCTCCTCCCTCCCTAAACCCTAGACCCTAAACCCTAAACCCTAAGCCCCCTTCCAAGAATGGCTCCTGAAGCTGCCGCGTCGATGTTGGGTTTGCTTCTGGTGGCTCGGCGCCATGTTTCCGGGTTGATTTGGGGTTTGGGATTTGGGGGCTAAGGTTTAGGGTTTAGGGTTTAGGGTTTAGGGTTTAGGGTTTAGGGTTACAGGGGGTTTGTACCGCTTTTGAAGCTTAGAGGGTGAGGAGACTCATAGACGCAGAGGGTTCGAAGGGTGTGGTCTTTATGCTGACCTCTGCACCCAAACCACAGGACCCCTGATGCCAAGAAGTCTCCATTTCTCGGAGCTGGGTATTGTATTGCTGGGCGCAAGCAATCAGAAACACCAAGTTGGGCAAAGCGCTGGTATGACGAAGGAGTGAGGTCTCCGGTCCTAAAAGCCTTATACTCGTGCTTGATAACAGGATCAGGAACGGCAAGGAAACCCATCCCGGCGCACTCTGAACGTGATGCTCGCAGCTGCTGCCAGGCCAAGCCGATTCAAGAGAACCCGGGACACCACTCGCTGAGCTCCCGAGCCATCCTTGGTGGTCGGACGATGCACCTTTGCCAGCGAATTTAGGAGGTGGGGTTTGGGCCAGCTTTGGTAGGGGAAGACCCAAGGTTCAAGGGGCCTTCCCATTGATGTCTGCATGTCGTGTCCTTGTACGTCGAAGCCCGACTTGATTCTGCACCCTCTTGCCTTCCCAACTTGTCTTTCGATGTCGTGTCCCAAGTCCTCGCGGTTGAATCTGAAGGCCTCCACGCATCCTTTTCTGTCCATGCTAGCTATTCCACTAGGTTACAGCTGGCCGCCGAAGAGCATCAGGGTAAGCGAGGTAGGTCCCCAAAACCCCCTAACCCCAAACCGCTACATCTTTGGCTCGAGGCAGCATGCCGAAACTCCACGGCGTAGCTGTAAGTTCCATAATCCGCCTATGCCATGAAACTCGCGAGCTTATTGGCCGTTGGTTTCCTGTTGTGGCCGCCGAAAGTCGTTAGTGACAGATTTGCCGTCAGCTCCGACGAGAGCGAGACTATATCCCCCTTGGGATTTTTTGTTTCTGTTTATATGAAACCCAAGAGGATATTTGAAATATTATTTGTTTTAAGGTTCTAAGGGGAGTATAGGAGAGTGTCGCTGGCACATCGCTCCTGCAAACCGAGCTTCAGCGGCTGCGCTACCCCAAGTTTGCCGCGCCTGCTGTTTGCACCGATGCTGGGTCATTCTTAAGAATCATGTTGCACGTTGTTTTTGTGAGTTTTTAAACCCAATAAGGAACAAAGTTGATCCCTAAACCCTAAACCCTAAACCCCAACAATGGTGCAGGATACGGTACCCGTGAAAGGCTCCGCAAGGGGCCTGCCTGCCTTGGGATATGTCGCCTTCGGCGACGAGCCTGAAGATATGATGAGTGCCAACGTTCCTTGGGGACTACATGAACCCCAAAAGGGTTTATGGTTCAGAAAACCCTTAGTAGGAATTAGAGTAGTCAGGGGAAATGATCCCAATTCTGGGGCTCCTTTCGGCCTCCCCAGGTTCGTCCAGGGGTTGCACGATACTTGCTTGCTGGTGGCCGCCGCGTTGTCACAGCTCCATACTACCAGAATGAGCAGGCTGTGGGACAAGGCATTCGAGACTCTGGTGTTCCGAGGGAGCACATATGGGTCACAACAGCCCTGGATCCTCCCGACGTGGCGCTGCGAAATCCCCGGCGCTGGGCCGCGGGGCAAGTAGATGCAAGCCTCCATCGGCTGAATGTGACGTACATTGATGACATGTATCTGCACTGGGGTCTTGAAAACCGCTACGAGACGAGCTTCCACCTGGCAAACTTGACGAAGGAGCAGTACATGGAGCTAGGTGAGCAATACTTGGAGCTGTGCCTTGGTAGCCCAGTGGTACCCTTTACCCTTTTTTTTGGTTCTGTGTTCCCTTGCAAAGTAACCAACCAAAAACAGGGTGCCCCTATTAGAATATGGTTACTGGGCTACTCAGGTACCGGGGTCTCATCGATGCTCAGCGGGCTGGCTTGGTTCGCCACATTGGTGTTGGGCTCCACACGCAGAAGGAAATCGAACACTTCATGAACGCCACAGGCGTCACGCCGGACATCATGCACGGATGGATCACGCCCTTCATGCCCGAAAAGCAGCTGAACTATGCAAAGTGGGCCAGGAACCAGGGAATGACTCTGGCTGGTTGGGGTCCCTATCGCTATACTACGCTGGATGAGCCAGCCGAACTTGAATCACACAGATCCATCACCGGCGAGCTCGCCAAGAAGTACGGCGCAACTGCTTCTCAGATAATCGCCCGGTGGTACTTGGACAAGGGCATTGCCATGTGCACAAGCATGGTCGAGCCGTCTCATCTCAAAGACAACTTGCGTTGCCTCCGCACTTCCCTAAGTCCCTTAGTAGTTGAGTGAGTGCACTTTACACATCTTTACACCTTTTGGGATACTACAACCCCATATAGAGCTGAGAGTGTACACTCTATTGGGGCTTATGAACTCAGCAGCTAAGGTCCTGAAGACACGGCGCTCTTGGAAAGCGTCAAGTGGGACTGCCACAAGACAGATCATGTGCAGCCTCTGCCGGGATGCTCCGATGACTAGGCTGAGAGTTTAGGGTTGAGGGTTTAGGGTTTAGGGTTTAGGGACTAGCCAAAGAAGATGGCAAGCCACCAGCTTCTTCAGTGTTGCCGCCGCCCTCAGAAGTTGGGGCGGCTTGACAGTTGGGCTACATCTGTGCAAAACAAAAGCCCAGCGATGTGGATACGCCCCAGCTGTGCAGGAGGGAGCGGACACCAAACCCCAACCCCGGGCCTTTACGGCAAGCATTTGAGAGGCCTCTAGATGAACAACGTTGGAGGCACACAGTTACTGGGTGACCTTACCTCTGATGGCTGCTTGATTATTTATTTACAGATATATATATATATATATCTGTCTATCACTGCTGTCGTGTCTCTCTATAAGATCGTCTGACTTCTTCTTGGACCAATGAACCTTGCCTGAGCGTCGAAACCCGGGCCAACTGTTCAGGGCTTCGCACCCTTTAAGCCTTCTTCAGGTTGAGGGCAAGTAGGGTTTAGGGTTTATAGGGTTTAGGGCTTCGGCAACGCCCTCGGTCCGGCTGCAAAGAAGGGATTCGGGAAAAAGGGGTCGTCCCTGTCCTGTCCTTTGGCTTGAGGCAGTGTGCGTACAACCCCGACATGAGGGAGACACGACTGGGCGCACGGCAGGCCGCCACTTTGCTCCCAGAAAGCTCAACAAACCTGGAGAAGTTTCAGGGTGAGGGTTGAGGGTTCAGGGCTTGGGGTCTAGGGTTTAGGGCCCGAAACCCTAAACTCCAAAACCTTTTTGCTTTGAGGAGTCTTTGAAATTTCTCCCCCCAAGAACGACAGACTTCAAGCCCTGCCTTGGGGTTCGGCCAGCTTTGGTTTAGGGTCTAGGGTTCAGGGTGTGGGGTTTTGTCAAGATACACCCCCCGCGCCCCCAAAAAGGGTTTGTTATGTCCAACCTTTGACCGCCCCCCCCCCCCCCCCCCCCCCCCCCCCCCCACCCCACGAACAGCAAGCCCCTTCTCGCGACAGGACCGAGTTCGCTGGCCTGAGTGGAAGTATGACGTCAACACTGGCTCATTCACTGCAGAAGGGGCTCCCCCAGAATCCTAAACCCTAAGAACCCTGCTTGAGGGTCACAGTCAAGGAGAAGTCGTGGGGTCTAAGCTGGTCCTAAGCGTGTTTTTTTGGAGATTTGGTCTGTAGGGCCTGCGGGGAAAATATTGGGATGTTTCCGAGTTATACTAGCAGTTCTTGCTAGGAGTATGCTAGGGGTACTACAGTAACCCGGCTGTTTGCGACAAGCCACTTTAAGTTTTTTGTCCAGAACGAGAGCACCCAGAACGCGCAACCAAGTCAAGAAAGCACTGCATTGCATCCCCTTGAATCCTAAACCCTAAACCCCCCCCCGCCACCTGCCCCCCCCCCCCCCCCCCCCCGGCCCCCCCCCGCCCCCCCGCCCCTCCCCCCCCCCCCCCCCCCCGCCCCCCCCGCGCCCCCCCGCCCCCCCCCGCCCCCCCCGCCCCCCCCCCCGCCCCCCCCGCCCCCCCCCGCCCCCCCCCCCCGACCCCCAATTGGCCCCCGCCCCCCGGCCCCCCCCAGCCCCCGCCCCCCCACCCCCCCGCCAACCCACCACCCCGCCCCCACCCGCCACCCCCCGCCCCCCCCCCCCCCCAAAAAAAAAAAAAAAAACCTAAGCGCGGCCCTCAGTAGGAGCCCTCGAACGGTGCCCATCCAGTTTCCTGGCCTGCAAAGGACACGCGCCGGTGTGGCATTCGAAGTTCCTTCGGGCAACTCATCCAGCATATTAAGGTTCAGGGTTTTGGGTTTGCGTAGTAGCTGAGTAGGTAACCTTTAACCTGGTGTCTGGGCTCAGGTGTGATCGTAAGACCTTGACGTGTTTCCTTACTAACCTCAGCTCAGCCGAAGATGAGCGGAAAGAGATCACTGGTTTCAGAGAGCTTCACTCACTTGCCAGGATGGGCTATCGCACCCTTTAACCCCTTTAAGGCCCTTTATGGGGTTGATTCTGGGAATTATGAGGCCGAATAGCCCATCCTCTTGGAGTCTACTTAGAGCAAGCCAAAGAAAGTGCCACTCGCAAGGTACCTCGGGAACAGCAAGCACGGAGCGCCAGGGTCTTCGATGTGGCCCGGGGGCCCAGTCTACGCGTAGTTTCATGTGCCCTTGAGATGGGGGTTTCCGAAATGAGGGGTACCCTCCGAGAGGTCCTGTTAAAGGGGATTCGATCACATTTTGGGGGGTTAAAAGTGTCCGAAATTGCGCGGTATATAAGGGGTCCCTTGCTAAGGGCCCATATTAAGGGACCACGTAGCTACCGTGCGATGGCAAGCCTGGGATGTTAATCATCACTACCCCTCGTTGTTGATGATTCCCTGGCAATTGAAGTGCTAGTGCCAGTACTTCCTAATGCGGCTCTTAGTCTATTGCCTTTTCGATTGCTTCAATGGTTGCATAGACGCGGGGGGGCTGGAGGGTAAACATTGAAGTTGCAGGTGCCTCTGGTGTGAGTTCAAACAGGGTATTGTTAACTTGCTGGGTTTAGGGTTTAGGGTTTGGGGCTTTGGGGTTTTCTGTTATGCTTCGGCAGGAGACATTGGTGCTGCTGCTGCCGAATATCCTCGACATCGACATCTTCATGGCCTTGGCTTCGGCCAGGAGTGTGCACAGGCTTCGCCCACAGCGCTATTGACACCATCAGCAGATCGGATGGCCTTGCCTTGAAGTCTTAGTGCAGCCATTCGAGCACCCTAGAAGCCGCTTGCTGTTCGCTGAATTTTTCGGAACTTAACTGAAACAGGTGCCACGTGCTAAGTTTAGGGTTTAGGGTTTAGGGTTTAGGGTTCACGGTTAAGGGTTTAGGGTTTAGGGTTTAGGGAGCCCTATAAATCCCACTTTCACCTCTTGGCGCCAGGCAGATTTTCAATTCGCTGGCCATCAAGGCAGCTGTTCACTGCCTTTGGATTGACGTCATCAGCCGCATGGCCTGCAATGAGAGGAATTTGGTGGCTGGCTAGGTAACCGAGTCTGTCTGCCGGACTTCTGTTTATTTGTATAGGGCCCCCAAACCCAAAATCACGGTGCAAACCCCAAAGTTCTCCCCTCAACCCTAAACCCAGTTGTGCTAAAGCAAACCCAATACCTTTTGGTCACCACATCAATGTGATCCTTCCCAAGAGACACCAGAAAACAATAGCAGTTCCGGGAAACTGTTGTACTCAGGCTTCAAAATTAACGCTTCACCACGGTTCGGCTGAAAAGCTCTCCGGGATGGTTTTGGGCGCCCCTCCTTTTTATCCCCAAAATGGCCAGGAAAGCCCCAGGAAGCAAGGGCTACCAAAAGGCTTTAAAAGCCACCAAAAGGCTTCAAAAAGACTCCCGAAAAGCCGGAAACCCAGGATTTGCCAGACCCGTAACTAAAAATGCGATTTTTTTGTACTGAATTCGATGGTTTTTGGCGCCCCTCCATTTTACCGACAAAATCATTTAAGGGGAATATTCCATCCTCTTATAAAGATATATGTATATTTTAAAGTTTAGGCCCTAAACCCTAAAAGGAATAGGTTTGGGTACCTGAAGATCCCCAAAACATCTCGCAGTCCCCGAACCCGAAACCCTCAACCCAATACCCTACCTAAAGTCCAACGTCTCCCCCCCCCCCCCCCCCTCCCCCCAAAAAAAAGGCCCCCAACACCCTAGAGTCCTGAACCCAAAAGGCGGCCAATCCTAGAGCTTTGAAACCTTTGAAGGGTTTAAGAAAGGGTTTAGGGTTTAGGGTTTAGGGTTTAGGGTTTAGGGTTTAGGGTTTAGGGTTTAGGGTTTAGTGTTCTAAAACGCAACTCCCAAAAACCCCTGCTGAGCCCTCCCCGCAGGCCCGGTGTTCGGGCTGACTTTGCTGTTCAACTCGCTGGACCTGATTGTGCCATGGTGAACATACATGACTTAAGGGTTTAGGGTTTAGGCTTTCAGGTTCAGGGTATGTTCGAACGCAATAGTACATATTTAGAGTTCGAATTTAGAACAAAGTTAAGTGTCAATTATTCATGGTCCCCCCCCATCGACCCCTTCCCTAAAACCTGAAACCTTCAACGCAAACCCTGCCATTCACTGTGAATCCTCCAGAACCTCAATGACTCAACCTCGACCCTGTACAACCGTATACAACTAAAATCACAGCGCCAGGCAAACTTTTCGGCAAAGGTGTGTTTAGGGGTTAGCGTTTGGGCTTTTGGTGCCCGGGCACCAGTTCTTGTTGTTGAAGCTAGTGGGAACATGTAAGCTAGGAACTGTCACCTCCGTGCCGGCATCACATTGGTAACAGCCTGTCCTACATGTTACCACTCTATATGCCAAAACCCATAAACCCTGTTAAAAAAAAAAAACTCTAAAACCCGGTAATAGATCCAAGCTTTACGCCGTACAAGTATTCACCCGCGAGTTACAGGGTCCTTATAAGTTATAGGGTCCTTATGAGCGAGGGGGGGGTCTTATGAAAGAATGAGCACCTAGGGAACCTTTAGGCTTAGGCAGCCTTAGGGAGTAGTGGGAGTATGGGGGAGTATGAGGCCGAACCCCCTTAAACCTCCCTCCCTTCAGAACCCTAGAATCACAGTGTTGCCTCTCGGCAATGCCCTAAACCCTCAAGATGTTGGCTCTAAACCCTACAACCCTCATCGCAAAAACAACCCTAAACTCTAAACCCTAAACCCTATCAACCCCATAAACCCCATAAACCCTATAAACCCTATAAACCCTATAAACCCTATAAACCCAACTAAGCCCTCAAGGTGTTGGCTCTCTGGGGCCTGACTCCCTCCGGCAAACCGCTCCTCTGGCGGGTGATTGGCTCCGTAGGGGCGAAGGAGCTGCCCACAAACACCCCCGCACCCCCACGCAATCCCGAATCCCGAAGGTAGGTGTGCGCGAAAATAGGGGGCCCCGAATAGAGTTTCCCAAAATAGTGGGATTCCTGTTCATAAGGACAGGACCCCAACAGACCCCTAATTTCGGAAAACCCGCATGTGGGTTTGGGTGGCAGGCAGTCTCCCTCTTGAAGGGTCTGATCGAAGTCCAAAACTCTACACACATCCCTAAACCCCAAACCCTAAACCCTACAGCCCGAAACCCTAATAAAGATGGTGTGTGCAGTGCGGGCGGCGAAACCCTAATAAACCCTAATAAACCCTAAACCCTAAACCCAAAGCCCCCCGTTTAGGGTTTAGGGTTTAGGGTTTAGGGTTTAGGGCCCCCCTGCCCCCCCCCCCCCCCCCCCCCCCCCCCCCCCCCTCCCCCCCCCCCTGAAAGTGGCAGGAGGAAGGCCGGAACTCGAGCCTACAATACCCGCGCTTTGCGAACTTCTTGCTTGCAGGGCTCCTCCGACGCCTGGCATGTTGGATTTGGGATTTAGGGTTTAGGGTTTAGGGTTTAGGGGGTGTAGGGTTTAGGGGGTGTAGGGTATAGCATGAGTTTGGATATGTCTCCTCAAGCAGGAGGTTCAAGTTTGGGCGGGACGTGTCCATCTTTCTCCACGCTTCAAAAAAGGGTACAGCGCGAGGGTGCAGTTGTCTCGGTTTCTTTGGGCTTCTTGCCCGGCAGTTCGAACAGGGCTGGATGCAAAAAGGTTTAGGGTTCAGGGTCCGGAAGTCGCTTTGTTCTAGCCTTTTTGGTTGCTGGGTCCTCCTCTGAAACCGCAATGAACTAAGAAGTACCTGCTTGTCGTCCTGCTGGTGATAGTTGAAGATGCGCTGGCTTTGTGTAAGCAAGTTTCGGCGCTTACTTGTTTCCGACTTCGAGATTCCGTGCTGTGCATGGTGAGGCATCATGCTCCTGGTCTGGGGGTGAAGGGCTCCGGAGGCCAATTCACAAGCGCAACCCCATAACCACCCTTCCAAAAGTTCAGGGGGAGGAGGAGCACTGCCGGTGATTGAAACCTACATTCCCCATCTTTGGGGAGGCTTACCCCCACCCCGCCCCCCCCACAAAAAACAACATCGGGAATTCTTAGCACCCCTAAACCCTAAACCCTAAACCCTAAACCCTAAACCCTAAACCCTAAACCCTAAACCCTAAACCCTAAACCCTAAACCCTAAACCCTAAACCCTAAACCCTAAACCCTAAAACCCAAACCCTAAACCCCCCATAACTGGCAGCAAGGAGATGTGGCCAACATCGGCTGGTGGCTCTTCGGACTTTGCCGGAAGTGGCTGAGGTCGGGGGGTTGGGGGTTTAGGGGTTTCGGGGTTTAGGGGTTTAGGGGTTTAGGGGTTTAGGGTTTTAGGGTTTTAGGGTTTTAGGGTTTTAGGGTTTTAGGGTTTTAGGGTTTTAGGGTTTTAGGGTTTTAGGGTTTTAAGGGTTTTAGGGTTTTAGGGTTTTAGGGTTTTAGGGTTTTAGGGTTTTAGGGTTTTAGGGTTTTAGGGTTTTAGGGTTTTAAGGGTTTTAGGGTTTTAGGGTTTTAGGGTTTTAGGGTTTTAGGGTTTTAGGGTTTTAGGGTTTTAGGGTTTTAGGGTTTTAGGGTTTTAGGGTTTCGGGTCCAGGGTTATAGGGTTTAGGGTTTAGGGTTTTGGGTCTCGGCGGACTGAGCTTTGCGCTAGACTATGGGCAGGCTTGAGAAGCCAGGGCTCAGGGCTTTGCTAGGATACCGAAAGCTCTTCAGCGATCCTCCGATACAACGATGCCAGTTGGCTAGAACCCTAAACCCTAAACCCTAAACCCTAAACCCTAAACCCTAAACCCTAAACCCTAAACCCTAAACCCTAAACCCTAAACCCTAAACCCTAAACCCTAAACCCTAAACCCTAAGCCCTAAGCCCTAAGCCCTAAGCCCTAAACCCTACACCCTAAACCCTAAACCCTAAACCGCGGCGCGGAGGCATCAAAGCCAGCACTCTTTGCGCGGATCATCCGCCGAGGCGCGCGTGCAGGAACTGCCACCCGGCCTTGAGAGGGAGTTGCCCCCATTTTTGGTGGGTTGGAGCTTATTGTTTAGGGCCGGGATTTTGGGGAGGATGAGGATGCTCTGAGCTTGAGACTCTTGATTTCCTGAACAACTGCTTGGGCAAATTAGGCTTTAGGGGTTCAGGGTTTATATAGGGTTTAGGAAAAGCATGCATTCCTCAGCCTCAAGCAGATGCTTTCAGGGTCAGTCCCTTCTTCATCTTCGGCTACTGGAGACACTAGAGATGATTCGCTCGTGGCCGGCTGAAGATCCATGCCCCTCCCCTCCAGCCGGCCGAGGCGATCCGGCTTGCATGCGCTGTGGCACCCGATGAAGATCTTCGACCTGAGCCACAACACGAACACCCCAGAAATGAGCCTTGGAACGTGTTTTGTGGGCTACTTATGTAGACCAATGATGGAAGAGGTAGATACTTAAGAACGAACACCGCAAGAGTAGGCGTGGTGGCACATCTGTTACTCTTCCCGGTCTTCTGTAGTGTACTACGACTACAACTATAGTTTCTGCAACTATTACTTCTCTTCCGGTGTTCCACCGGTGTTCTCTCACATTGCTCAGCTGGGGCAAACTGAGGGGATCCTGTCCTAAAGCCTTCAAAAGCATTGCAAAAGCCTTGAATGGGGCCTTGCGGGGTTCGAGGGTACTCTGCGTTTAGGTTTTTTTTAGCGCTAACAAACCCATTTAGGGTTTAGGAAACCCATTTAGGGTTTAGGGCCTTTTCTTAAACGTAAACAAAGAGAACCCGAACAGGATCCTCTGCTTGCTGAAGACCATCTTCTTGCTTAGCACGCAGTGCTCTTCAAACTGCGAGCGGGAGATGCCCGACACCACGCAGGCCGCGGTGAGCGGCTCGAGGGTTCAGGGGGTTTAGGGTTTGGGGCTTAGGGTCGTGGCTTTGGGTTTAGGGTTTAGGGTTTGGGGGTTAGGGTTTAGGGTTTTAGGGTTTAGGGTCTCGGGCTTGGGGTGAGGGTTTGGGGCTTAGGGACATCGCCGCGAGAATCAGGCCTTGCTGGCGGTGTGCTTCTTCATGCACTGCGCTGCTTGGCCACAACTCTGGGTGAAGTTTTCGGGAGCGCTGGTGACATGGAGAGTCAGGAACGTCCGAGGTTCCCCGGAATTCTAGGGTACACGTCAGTGTTTCTGCACTACTACCTTCATGTTCAAGCTGAATAAGCCAAGCTCCAAGGCCTGAAACTCTGGCAAAGCATGTGCGTTTGAGGTGAAGCTGATATACATGCTGCGCGTCAGTTCGTTCGGAGGAAAGAAAATCCTGGTGCTGAACCTGGTTTGCATGATGGGCGGGCACGTCTTGTGTTCAGGGCTTAGGGTTTGGGTTTCTGTCTCACCGTTCGAGGCCTGGAGCGTGGACGATTCGCATGATGTAACTTGAATTTGGGCATATTTGGGCCAGTGCATGCTACTGACCCCTCTTGGAGCTGGCACCATTCACTTCGTATTTTCGCTTCAACCATTGCGGCTCATGCGCAACTCTTGTGACAAGCTGGCACTCCAGCCAACGAATTCAGCCTACAGTTCTACCCTGCCAGCCCCTTTGCAGGGCTAAACCCTAAATTCTGCACCCTAAACCCTAAACCCTAAACCCTAAACCCTACACCCTAAACCCCAAACCCTAAACCCACTTTTGGGGTTGAAAGGGCTTGCAGGTTTCAAAGGGGTCCTTGCCTGCCAAGGATCAAGACTCTCGTCAGCGGCGCCATGCGGGAGATGCGGCTTGAATGACCTAGGGCATGCAGGGGTTTAGGGTTTAGGGTTTAGGGCCTAGGGCCTAGGGCCTGTGGGCCTAGGGTTTAGGGTTTAGGGTTTAGGGTTTAGGGTTTAGGGTTTAGGGTTAAGGGTTAAGGGTTAAGGGTTAAGGGTTAGGGTTAGGGTTAATGTCATGTAGGGTCCGAGGTGCCTCTGCATGAAGCAAGACCATCCTTACACGGGGCGTGTGCCGTGACTGTGGGAAAAAATGGGTGTTCAGGCCTGTAGTGGTTATTGATTCAAGACTCTTCAGATTTTCGCACGGCAGTGCATCATCTGACCCCTCAGCACTAAACCGTAAACCCATGAAAATAAACCCTCATGAGCCTCATAATGCCCCTTCCTGCCACTCTGACTCTGTCAAGCCACAAGGCACAGTTGTTTACATGACAGAAGCATTCCCTATATGTTTTACTGCCAACCTTGAAAGCCTAAACCCTAAACCCTAAACCATTGCAACACCTGACCTTTTCCCAGTACACGCTTGCGACACGGGTGGGAAAAAAAACCAACCCCAAACCCCAAACCCCAAACCCCAAACCCCAAACCCCAAACCCCAAACCCCAAACCCTAAACCCTAAACCCTAAACCCTAAACCCTAAACCCCAAACCCCAAACCCCAAACCCCAAACCCCAAACCCCAAACCCCAAACCCCAAACCCTAAACCCTAAACCCTAAACCCTAGCCCAGATTCTTGATCTTCTGCCTCTTCTTTCTGGCCTTCGCCCTGACCGCTGTTATGCTGGACCGAAGCGTGGCCGTGGGCATCGTCAGCTGGCGGCTTGTCTGACGAGTCTGAGTTTGGGAGCCTTGCTGCCGCTGTTGCGTAGGGTTTAGGGCTTAGGCTTTACGGTTTTGCAAACAAGGGGTGGCCAGCAAACGCCTCCACCCCTCCACCCCAAAAACTTCCCAAGACTTCCCTGGAAGGTCCCTCTACCGCGGACTCATCTTTGGTGATGGCGCAGGGCTCGATAACATGGGCTTCGCGATCGAAGGCGGGCGAGCTGGGGGGGTTGTAGGGGAGCGTGGGTTCAGGGGTCCGGATTCGAGAAAGAAGAAGGCCAGTGCATCGGCTCTGCTGCAACCTCAATGCGCTGCGGGTGGCCCTAAACCCTAAACCCTAAACCCTAAACCCTAAACCCTAAACCCTAAACCCTAAACCCCCTCAGGGCTGTCTCGAGGGGAGATCGAACGCCACTCGGATGCAACGCAAAGTCCCTTTGCAATCACTCCCGCGAGTCGGTGCTGAGTCTAGTCAGGGTTATGTTCAGGGCTTCTTGGGGCTTAGGGTTTAGGGTTTAGGGTTAGGGTTTAGGGTTTAGGGTTTGGGGTTTAGGGTTTAGGGTTAGGGGCATCGCCGGCATGTGTCGCTGCGTCCCTACCACTTGCGAGTGTCCGCCGCGCGTGGCTCTTTGCACATGATGTCCTGCAAATTTAGCCAGCCTCCGCCCCCAAAGCCATAAGTAGGCACCTCTTGTAACTGGAAGCCTACGCAGGGTAGGAGCTGTTGATCTCAGCTTGCCTCAAAAGGCAAGTTGTTTTTTTTCATGTCGTCGTATTCCTGCTCCAAGCTGCCTAGGTGTGATGGATGTCGATGCACCCTGGCATGTTAGAATGTTAGAGCTTACATGTGGTAGCTAATTGTTTAAGGTTGGGTTTCCAGGGGCTGGGTTCAAGGGCAAAGGTTTCGAAAAGGTTCCAATTGGCTCATCCCGGTCATCATGCAATGGCGGGCTCATGCCATCTACAGGCAATGGGACTCATGCGCCGAACATGCTAAGGAAGCACGCTCCTTATCTTCAGTCTTAAACACAGGCGTCATTTCTGAGAGAGCCTTCCTCTCGACCTCCGAGTTTATCCAAGCTTGCCTTTTGATGGCGTCCATTCTCCAATTTTCCCAGCTTGATGCTAAAGCTTCTCTGAGGTTCTGAAGACCCTGCTTACTGTCATGGCCATTTTGGGCACGGTGACCTTCATCGTGTCCCTTGGCCTGAACTGGCGGCTCCTTCTGCGGCCTGCTCGGCGGACATGTCGCGGGCTCCATTAGGGTTTGGGGTTTCGGGTGTAGGGTTTGGGGTTTCGGGCAGCGCCCTCAGTATTCCGGCCACTCCCTCGGCTGCAAACAGGGTTTAGGGTGTAGGGTTTAGGGTTTAGGGCTACAAGCTACAACCAAAAACGCGTTTGAAAGGCGTGATCTCTTCTTGAGCCGCTTGACCAGTTCCTGGGGTTCAATGCCCAGCAGTCAGCATCGGCCAACTGAGGCTCTGACTTGAGAAGCTAAACCCTACACTCTGGGCCTAATCCAGGGTTAGATTTGTAGGTTTATGGGTTGATAGGTTGATAGGGTTTATAGGTTTTCAGAGAGGTGCAGAACAAGACTGGCTTTGTTCCTTTTTGCCGGGCTGACGTAAGTGCTGTGCTCTCGCCGTCCCAGCTCAACCTGGAATAGAGACTGGATTCAAGAAAGGGTTTAGGTTTCGGGGCTGTCTTTCTCAGCCCAAAGTCGGTAGCTAAGGATCTTGAACATGATCATCGCCATCTACAGCACGGTGCCTGAGCTCGCAGAGACACCCACTGTGACGGGTATGCTGTGGGAACCACAAGAAACCCCCTAAACCCTAAACCCTTAATTAGAAGTGACCTTTACCCTAGCAGAGGTACGCAACACTTCCCCAAAAATATGATGTCGTCCCCGTGGAAGCTTCGCATTCCCAAGGCCGCCAAGCCTCAAAATTTCAGTTTAGGGTTTAGGGTTTAGGGTTTGGGGTTTGGAATTTAGGGTTTGGGGTTTAGGGTTTAGGGTTTAGGGAGAATCCCCCAGCCGTTCGCAATTAGGCTCCCCAACTGGGACCCCAAGTGCATGGAGGTCTTTGGCTTGTATTGGTCTCAACTCCAATGGCCCGACCCACTTGAGAAAAAAACTCAGGGATATCCTTCCTTGAATTGCTGCTGGACATTTGTATTTCGTACCAAGTCACGGCCCCGATTTATTTTGCGAACTTCTCCGAAGCAAAACTGACAGGCGCTCCAGACATTCAGCCTAACTCGCCGGCTTTCTACATCTTGCCTAGACGCAGTGAGGCAGCAAAACGGTCACCGAAAACGTGAACGCAGACGGTGGCGATCTTCACGCGTTGTTTTGACCTTGTCCACGCCAAGGTCCCCATAGCCCCATGTGATAGAGAGTCAAATGCGGTCTTTAATTAGCATCCTTCTGACTCCGAACTTCTGGCGTATCCGTGCAGTCCTTCTCTCCAAAGGTTCGTGGCCTACTGGAATCCTGAATCCGGCCTCGTATCCGCATCCTTAAGTACACTTAGCGAATCCCACCCTGCCAGGCCCACCCTCTTCCCTTTGTTTTCCCACCGGATTTCTGAGTCCATTTTTTTGTTTTTAGTTAGGTAGTGGCCCTCACGCCTACTCGCTGGGGACTTCGCTTTGCACAGAGCGCGGATAAACCCTTTCGGGGTATATGTATACATATGTATATATATATATATATATATATATCTATCATATATATACATAGATATATACCTCCTACCAGAACTGGAAAGGTGAATTTCTTTTGGCCCAGGGTACTCGGCAACTAGGCTCAGCGCCACGCAAGGAGTATGGCCGCCTGGAGATGGAGAGCGACCTCCTCTTCCAGTGGGACCTCGGGGGGTCTTCAGACACTAGGTGCTTGTAGGGTTTAGGGTGGTTAGGGTTCAAGGTTCACAGGGTTGTAGAGCTTGTAAGGGTTTGTAGTTTACAGGGCTTGGGCATGTCTTTGCTTGTCAGGCGCCCGAGGCCCCCCGAAGTTGCGGACCCCGGAACCTCCAATTTGGGTTGGGCTGGGCCTGTTTTTCTGGCTCTGGAGGCGTACAATCAGCAAGTTGAGATGAGGCCTCACTTTTCCTCGTGCCCTCCTGAACCAAGCACGTTTCCGACTTGAATGTGCATGTACGATTGAAGGCACTGGCAAGGATGGTCATTTCATGCTTAGGGACGTTGAAGCTGCAGCAGGAGCGTGCCAAGTACTGCTGCAACTGCCTGCAGCGCGGCGGCAATCCAGCAACAACATGGGATGTGGTCTATGCCACGGGCGAACTTTAATTTAGAGTTGACTTCGCTCGACCATGCTTGAATTCATTGAATGGGTTCAATGAAATCAAAGGGGGTTTACGAAACTAGGGGTACCTTATTGGGGTCCTGTATAAGGAATTCCTACAATCTGGCTGCCTATTTTCGGGGTCCCCTAATTTCGTCCCTAAACCCTAAACCCTAAACCGAAATGCACTTAGAAAGAGGCTCGAGCCAGCGCCTCCCTGCAGGCTTGGCATGCAAAAGCTGCGGTCCCGGAATCGGGTGTGGCTCCACTTAACGCGCGCCGTCGTGACCCTATGTCTGACATAGCAGGGGGCGGGGGGTTAGGGTTTAGGGTTTAGGGTTTAGGGTTGATGGTTTAGGGTTTAGGGTTCAGGGTTCAGGGTTTAGGGTTTAGGGCTTAGCGTTTAGGGTTGACTTCAGGATGTTGGGGGAGTTGCTACGGTGGAGCCGAAATGCATATCTTCCGTGCGGCTGAAGTTTGACATAACAGCTCACCCGTCATGTGTGTGTGCTACAGGATGCCGAAAATTTCTAAATCTTCTGCTTCTGAATTAGAATGGGTGTCGTTGTTTGATGTTCTTGGTGGAGGGTTTAGGGTTTAGGGTTTAGGGTTTAGGGTTTAGGGTTTAGGGTTAGAGTGCCAGGATTGCCTGCTTGGCTGGCGCCACCGCCTGGTTCGTGTCGTTTCCTACAGGACCGGCTGGGAGCTTCCAGTTAACGTAGGCTTTTAGGGTTTAGGGTTTAGGGTTTAGGGTTTAGGGTTTAGGGTTTAGGGTTTAGGGTTTAGGGTTTAGGGTTTAGGGTTTAGGGTTTAGTGAACCCCACATCAGTCTGCCCTCCCCAAAGGTGCAAGAAAGATCCCTAGACCGTAAGCCCTCGGCCCTAAACCCAACCCAAAACCCAAAACCCAAAACCCAAAACCCTAAACCCTAAACCCTAAACCCTAAACCCTAAACCCTAAACCCTAAACCCTAAACCCTAGACCCTAGACCCTAGACCCTAGACCCTAGACCCTAGACCCTAGACCCTAGACCCTAGACCCTAGACCCTAGACCCTAGACCCTAGAACCCTGAACCCTGAACCCTAAACCCTAAACCCTCAACCCTAAACCCTCAACCCCACACCAGTCTGCGCCCCAGGGTCCGAAGCACTGTCGGCCCCGCCACCATTCCCCGTGGGCGCCCTCCTCCTCGGGGCGGCTCAGGTGCGCGCCGCGGGTGCTTGGAGGGTTTAGGGTTCAGGGTTCAGGGTTTAGGGTTTAGGGTTTAAGGTTTTAGGGTTTAGGGTTTAGGGTTAGGGTTCAGGGTTTAGGCTTTAGGCTTTAGGCTTTAGGCTTTAGGGTTTAGGGTTTAGGGTTTAGGGTTGAGGACTTTGGTCTGATGGGAGGGATTTCCAGGGTACCTGAGCGGCGGGTCTTGGCCAGCGCTGGGGTTTTCTAGACAGGACCTAAACCCTAGACCCTAAACCCTAAACCCTAAAACCTAAAAGGGTTTAGTTTAGGCAGCCTTGGAAGACCCTAAGCCCTAAACCCCTGAACTGAACTTCCCCGTGCAGCATCTCTAGACGGGTGGCAAAAGAAGCTGAACTTCGGAACCTGAAGCTCATGCTGTTGCTGTCACAGGGACACTTAGGGACCCCTCTTGAATACCACCAGAGCCCCTCAACTCCGACTCCCAAGTCTCAAGCCCAATAAGCCCTAAACCAAAACCCTAAACCCTAAACCCGCTAGACCCTAGACACTAAACTAAACCCTAAACCCCAAACCTTAAACCCCAATCCCTAAAACCCTAAAACCCTAAAACCCTAAAGCCCTAAAGCCCTAAAACCCTAAAATCCTAAAATTTAAGAGCCTCCGGCTCAAGCCGCCGACCCCGCTGGAGCATAGTTGAAAGGTTTAAACGCGCTCGTCAGCTCAAAGGATGCCAAAAGTTGATTTGCTTGAGCCTCTGTGAAACGTGGGGGGGGGGGGGGGGGGGGGGGGGGGGGTAGCACCTGAAGCCAGCTTGAAGGAGGGCAGCCCCATC